ATCTTATTTACCACAAGTAAATCAGATGTCATTTTATAAAATAAAAATAGATATCTTATTCATACGATTACGTCAATTAAGAACAAGATTTGAATTTTAGATACAAATTCCTCCCCTAGCACACCAAACAGATACGTATACTGACTCACAAACAGGTAGGTATACTGACTCACAAACAGGTACGTATACTGACTCAAAACAGGTACGTATTCTGACTCACAAACAGGTACGTATACTGACTATCAGACATGTGCGTATACTGACTCAAAACAGGTACGTATACTGACTCACAAACAAGTACGTATACTGACTCACAAACAGGTACGTATACTGACTCACAAACAGGTACGTATACTGACTCACAAACAGGTACGTATACTGACTCACAAACAGGTACGTATACTGACTAACAAACAGGTACGTATACTGACTCACAAACAGGTACGTATACTGACTCACAAACAAGTACGTATACTGACTCACAAACAGGTACTATACTGACTAACAAACAGGTAGGTATACTGACTGACACACAGGTACGTATACTGACTCACAAACAGGTACGTATACTGACTAACAGACAGGTATGTATACTACCTCACAAACAGGTACGTATACTGACTCACAAATAGGTACGTATACTGACTCACAAACAGGTACGTATGCTGTGTCAGAAATAGCTAACTATACTGACTCACAAACAGGTAAGTATACTGACTCACAAACAGGTACGTATGCTGTGTCAGAAATAACTAACTATACTGACTCACAAACAGGTAAGTATACTGACTCACAAACAGGTACGTATACTGACCTCACAAACTGGTATGTTTACTGACTCACAAACAGATATGTATACTGACTCACAAACAGGTAAGTATACTGACTCACAAACAGGTACGTATACTGACCTCACAAACTGGTATGTTTACTGACTCACAAACAGATATGTATACTGACTCACAAACAGGTAAGTATACTGACCTCACAAACAGGTACGTATGCTGTGTCAGAAATAGCTACCTATACTGACTCACAAACAGGTACGTTGATAGACTCATTCTGAACACCTCTGGATATGCATTATTTTGTACCTAAATCGGCGATAAACAATTTGGTGTCGTAACTCGACAGTGTACAGATATATCTCCATTATCTAGGCGGGATGGTAGCAACTACATAAAAATAAATATCATCAAAAACAAAGGGCATTACTAAGAACTCTGACGAAGCCATAAAGAGAAAGTAGGAACTCCATCTTTGTTACTATTTAGGGTGACATTATCAAAGCTGTTTGGGAGGAATCCTAAATTTATCTTACACGTCCTGGGAAAGGTAATAGACCAGCTGGAGCCAGTGTGTAGGTGTGGGAATGCTTATCGAGATGTGTTTTTTGTGTCAAAAGATGAAATATTCATAGAGAAGACTCGAGGGAAAGACGGAAAGGTTATGGTAGCAATACCCAACTATAAAACCAATTATATCCATATTCTACCATCATTATATATCTATATATATAGTTTACTTATGCTAAGTAATCCGATAGCTGATCTCAAACACTGGTTAGGTCACGCGGGACGATCGCGGGGACCGCTATAAACGCGATATTGAGGGCAACTATTGATAAAAAAAATGTGCAACGCCTTTCCTCCAGTGCACGCCTGAGTATGTGATTGTGTCCCTCTTGGTTACTCATGTCGTCACGGTGGGTGGCAAGTGTTCCTTCATTCAAAACAGCTTCACGCTGTCCCTCTTGGTTACTCATGTCTTCATGGTGGGTGACAAATGTTTTTTAACATGTTCATGTCTTCATGGTTGGTGACAAGTGTTTCTTAACATGTTCATATCTTCATGGTGGGTGACAAGTGTTTCTTAATATGTTCATGTCTCTGTGGTGGGTGACAAGTGTTTCTTAACATGTTCATATCTTCGTGGTGGGTGACAAGTGTTTCTTAACATGTTCATATCGTCATGGTGGGTGACAAGTGTTTCTTAACTTGTTCATGTCTTCATGGTGGGTGACAAGTGTTTCTTAACATGTTCATATCTTCATGGTGGGTGACAAGTGTTTCTTAACTTGTTCATGTCTTCATGGTGGGTGACAAGTGTTTCTTAACATGTTCATATCTTCATGGTTGGTGACAAGTGTTTCTTAACATGTTCATATCTTCATGGTTGGTGACAAGTGTTTCTTAACATGTTCATGTCTTCATGGTGGGTGACAAGTGTTTCTTAACATGTTCATACCTCTGTGGTGGGTGACAAGTGTTTCTTAACATGTTCATATCTTTGTGGTGGGTGACAAGTGTTTCTTAACATGTTCATATCTTCATGGTTGGTGACAAGTGTTTCTTAACATGTTCATGTCTTCATGGTGGGTGACAAGTTTTTCTTAACATGTTCATACCTCTGTGGTGGGTGACAAGTGTTTCTTAACATGTTCATGTCTTCATGGTGGGTGACAAGTCTTTCTTAACATGTTCATGTCTTCATGGTGGCTGACAAGTGTTTCTTAACATGTTCATGTCTTCATGGTGGGTGACAAGTGTTTCTTAACATGTTCATGTCTTCATGGTGGGTGGCAAGTGTTTCTGAACATGTTCATGTCTTCATGGTGAGTGACAAGTCTTTCTGAACATGTTCATATCTTCATGGTTGGTGACAAGTGTTTCTTAACATATTCATGTCTTCATGGTGGGTGACAAGTGTTTCTTAACTTGTTCATATCTCTGTGGTGGGTGACAAGTGTTTCTTAACATGTTCATACTTTGTGGTGGGCGACAAGTGTTCCTCCTCATGTTCATGTCTTCGTGGTGGGCGACAAGTGTCTCTTCTCATGTTCATATCTTCATGTCGTCACGGTGGAGGATATGTATTCCTCCCTGTTCTCGCGGTGGGCAACAACTGTACCTTCAAGTCGTCTCGGTGAGCAACAAGCGTACCTTCATTCCAAACTACATAGTGCTTGACCCGGAGATGTACCGTTAAAACATTGTTTTGATACTTTTCTGTACTCGCGGAACGTTTGTTTCAAACCGATAGTGGTGTTCTTCACATTGTACGCGTGACTTCAGGATGAAAAGCATAGCTCCATAGGTGCTACAGGTGGGGGTCCTTTGTCACTATCACCAGATGTATGGCAATTTACAAATAATACCTTTTCATTAATTGACTTCATACTATATCGGTCACTCGTGCTCGCTGCCCAACACTACAGTCACGTGGGCCGTTTGAGTAGTCCCCTCTCAACTGTTTTCTGCGTCACTGGAGAGATAAAATTAGGTACATACCGCGTTAATGTATTGAAGTGCGGCCCCTGTTATTGTAGCAGTCGTTTGGGACCACGAGGGAAATATGGATAATTGATTAATCTAAAAATTAATAGGGACACATGTCATGAGGATACGTAACTCTAGTAAATCTATGCGGGGCAACCCAGTGCAAAATTCGATAGAAAACCCGTGAAACATGAGCTATTGACCCCGATACACAAACGGACAGGGCAACACTTTCTCAATCGCCGGAACGGTAGTCACCATAGAGCGTCACACACTCACGATATGGCGATAATTTACCACACACACATAGACGGAACAGGAGGCTATTGCATTACCAGATAACGCTGTTACCGCCATACACTCACGGAACGAGGAACTGTTACACACTCGGGGAACGGTGAGTAACTAGTGTAATTGCAGCACTCCGAAGGAACGAGAAGTCACTACCGCGTTACCGCCACACAGTCATGGAACGAAGACCTAGTCACTATATTGCATTACCGTCTCACAACCAGGAGAAAGAAAGTCACTGGTGTCAATGTAGTACACTGAAGGTACGGGAAGTCGCTATCATGTTACCGCCAGTTACTCATGGAACGGGGAGCTAGTCACTAGTGTGTTACCGTCTCACACTCAAGGGACGGAGAGTCAGTAGTGTCATTGCGTAACGCTATATACTTACGGAATGTAAAGTTATTTCCGCGTCACTGCTCCACACTGTCCCAAATTCACGCAATCGGGATTATCGGGGAAAAAAACAAGTATAACGGAGTCACTAGCGCGTTACCATCACAGACTCGCGGAAAAGGGAGTCACCACTCACTACAGCATCACCACCCCACACTCAGGGAAAAGGGAGTCACCACCTACTACAGCATCACCACCACAAATTCAGGGGAAAGGGAGTCACTACAGCATCACCACCCCACACTCAGGGGAAAGGGAGTCACTTCTCACTACAGCATCACCACAACTGGGGAAATAACAGAATAGTTCATTCCTGATAAAGATGATAAAGCCAGGATAAGAGAAAAATAAACATCCATCCCTTTGTTGGTGAGATAAGGGGTCTCAGGTAGGGGTGAAGATGATCATCTTTGCCCAGTGGTATATCTTGATCTATGTCAACCTAGGCTGGAATCTTCATTCATCAGTCAGAAACTTTACATCCTTTTGTCTATCATATATCAAGGTAGACATGAAATCTTATCAACACATTGATCTATGGGAAATGTTTTAGTTGGCGTTCAATGAAAATCATGTGATTTGTAAAACTCATCATTTCTTTTGGTTTTTTTTCCTCACATTTTAGTACGTCTCCCTCTCAGCTTTGAAAATATTCAAACCTGTCAAATAGCTGTCAAAACCAAATCGGATTGAACATCCAACCTGGTGAAATTATGCAAAGTTAAACGACACTTTCTATCAAGCATTGTTTAGGTCGTTTTAACCTTTCTGACTTTGATAATTCCAAACATGATAAACCAGTTTTTGTTATCACTCATGTCTGCAGGGTAAGTGGTAAATGGTGGCATCATATGTCCTTTTATTTGAGTGGAAACCACAGTAAAACGTCTGTCACTTATGTACTTTATGAGTTACATCGCCAAGGGGACTCTTTAAACCAGTGAAATTGCTCTCTGTGGTACCCAAATATCTAATATGTCATATTTAAAACATTATGTTTAATTTTATTGACCACAAAACACACAAAACGGCTAATTATGTAGGCATTGTTTATTGCACATGAAGTAATACAACAACGTAATTGATTTGTAATAAATGTTCCCATAGCAACAGTACTGGTCATTTGGGTCAGATTGTCTCTGATATTTGTGTAGGGAGGAGGCATCATAAATGTGATAGCAAAAGGCAAGCGTGTTCTGGTACAACAGATCTAGTCAAACTAACATACTCTTCATCAAACTTATCTACAGTAATGGCACATTATAACACGTAGTTTAGTAAATTGTATGAAGTTATATAAGACATTAAGTATAGAGTCAGAATACCTTAACTAATCTTGTACTTCATAGGTGCTTGAAGAAACCTGCATATTTCACTGAATCCTATGTTCTAAGAAAACAGCAAATTAATGCCGCCATTCTAAATGGCTACATTCAGGACATAATGTGTCAACTATGTAAAGAAATATCCCATAAACCAAGTAAATACTATATTATATATTTCAGGGTGTTTCATTTCCTTCGAATATTCCACTTTCACCGGTATTATGATAATTAATCACATTTCAAGCCTGGTATCAGCATCAAAAAAAAGTTGGCAAAAACAGGTGATATGAGATTGAGAAATGTAGAAGACATTTACTAAACAAAACTTAAGTATGGTGACCTGTTAATTCATTTGTGATCTAGAAATGAAAATAGCAGGAATCAACAACCTTATAACAGATCTGAAGGTGTCAATGAACATTCGTTCATAAACCATTTGATGTAATTGGTATTATAAACTGAAAACAAGGTTACATTGTATTTGATAAGTTGAAGTGATATCACATATGTATGTGATATATAGACTTTAATATATAATTGAAATTGTCACAGATGTTTCATTTTTAATCTTGCGGCTTGTTAGAATTGACAATTTTAAGACTTGTTTCAACCATACTTTAAATCTAAGCTCTTTTTAAAGAGAATAATGAATGTAATATTTCAAACTTTTGAACCACCATAACAGCATGGTTGAAGTTTGAAAACCCATCAAGAAAATCAAGCTCCAGGCGAGAATAACAGCTGTATGATGTTGTATGATATATTCAACATATGTTTTATAACATATTAAACATGTTGACATATGTATGAAAGTTACAGTAGGTGTTGATGATCACCTCAACAGAGACAAAATGGGACCAGTAGATCTCTTCCTGATTTGATATGTGTCTAAACAACTACAACACTAGATTTTGATTGTCTCCCATTATGTGTAGTTAAGATCTTATTGTAGTTTATACCCGAAAGCAGCAAGACTGTTACTTAACAATACATGTACAGCATCACACTGCTGGATGTGAAGTAAAATGGAAGGACAAAACAAGTGTATATTGGGAAATAATGCTGTTGAAACAAAGCCTCTTTACACCATTTTTCTCCAATGCTTTGTAAATAATATTGCTGTATGAAAATGGATAACCAGTTTTCATGGTATAACTGTAAAATATTAGTAACATATCATTGATAATGGTAGTGTATTAATATGGTTACTATTCATTAATACCACTAAATATCAACAGGTGCTTAAACAAGTAACATTGTTTAATTAACCAGGGAACAGGTGCCCTTGTCTAAGTAACCTCATTAAAAATGTTAGTGTGACCTCAACAAAACACTAAACAAAAACACTGAAGTCAGTGCTGATTTTACTATATAAATGATTAATTGTGACAATAATTACCTGGTCCTATTATGTCTCTTTGTGGTCTGACTTAGTCTTCAAAAATATCTACACAAGGAATACATCTGCCAAGAGACTGACCTACATTTCTTGAGAAGTATACACATATCAATTACCTACATTTATTGACATCACTAACACCATTATATAGCTATGACTGTTCTCATGATTTCTAGTACTTATGAAAAGATGTTTATAAATCACAACACAAACATACACACATTTGCATGTACCCAATCAGTATGGAAAAGGTTGTAATGTTAAATATTTATAGTATAAGTTCACATCCACATCAGGAAAACAATAAGGCTGCCACTACCTTTAATGTAGAAACTAGCCATGGCATACACAGCTGTATTATGTTGTGTGGTATAAGTTGTAAACAAGAGATTCTAGAGGGATCTTGACACCCATATTTGTTTGACAGTTCTTTCTTCTGTTTTTGCTCTTCAGTATGTGAAATTTAAAATTCCTCTTCAGATATTGTGGTAATCTTTAACTGTCAAATCCAATATGGCCATATGTCAGCCATTTTGTTTTCCTAAGTTCCAAAATAAACAGGGCATAGCTCATGTGTAAGAGTAACATACACATTTGTGGAAATCTGTCCAACACTTCAAGAAAACCAAAAGCAAAGATGGCCATCTGACAACAAATGGATGAACAGACCATGGAAGCAAGGAGATTTTTGTACAGCCAAGGATCTGATGATGGTGGAATAAAAGGAAAAAGAACAAGAAATTGTGTACGATTTATCTTCCCTACAATACACCTTAGCAGTTATCTGACATTGTGTATGATTTATCTTCCCTACATTATCACCCTAGCAGTGATCTGACATTGTGTGATGGTTATCTTCCCTACAACATCACCCTAGCAGTGATCTGACATTGTGTATGATTTATCTTCCCTACAATATCACCCTAGCAGTGATCTGACATTTCGTATGATTTATCTTCCCTACAATATCACCCTAGCAGTGATCTGACATTGTGTATGATTTATCTTCCCTACAATATCACCCCTAGCAGTAATCTGACATTTCGTATGATTTATCTTCCCTACAATATCACCCTAGCAGTGATCTGACATTGTGTATGATTTATCTTCCCTACAATATCACCCTAGCAGTGATCTGACATTGTGTATGATTTATCTTCCCTACAATATCACCCTAGCAGTGATCTGACATTGTGTATGATTTATCTTCCCTACAATATCACCCTAGCAGTGATCTGACATTGTGTATGAGTTATCTTCCCTACAATACACTCTAGCAGTGATCTGACATTGTGTATGATTTATCTACCTCACAATATACTGCCATACCATGACCATGTTGTGTTATACCATATACCCAGTGTGATCAAGATGTGATTTTTTTTTTACCTCTACCACTAATTTCATCATTTCATCACAAAAACAAAATAATTCATAAAATAGTAAGCAGCATGAACAATGAAAATACTCAGGTCCACATTTTCACATTTTATTATAACTTAAACTCTAGTGATGATTCAGGCGTGCTTATGTAATTGTGCTTGTTTCGCTACTCTTCCCACCAAAACTATTGATGATGCCCATAGCACTTATTGAGTATTGTTAGCTTTACTTATACATATGTACAATACCAGGAATGAATTGATGTAACATTATTAACGATGGAAAACAAGCGACGTTTAAAACAAAAACAAACGCATTCAAATCATTGCAATTCAGGAATCGAAATTCTCCTTAATGATCCTAATATATTGGACCATACACTGAAAAATAACATTTAATTGATATAATGCATGTCAATGTTAGACATTATTTGTATGTTAACATTAACAATACTTTGTATATCAACAATAGACAATACTTTGTAAGTCAACATTAGACAATACTTTGTATGTCAACATTAGACAATACAAAATACTTTGTATGTCAACATTAGACAATATTTTGTATGTCAACATTAGACAATATTTTGTAGGTTAACATTAGACAATACAAAATACTTTGTATGTCAACATTAGACAATATTTTGTAGGTTAACATTAGACAATATTTCCTATGTCAACATTAGACAATACTTTGTATGTCAACATAAGACAATACTTTGTATGTCAACATTAGACAATATTTCCTATGTCAACATTAGACAATACTTTGTATGTCAACATTAGACAATACTTTGTATGTATACATGAATGTTTAAGCTGTAGGTCAACATGCAACTCTACAATGAAGGGTATAAAATATCAACAGAGAAATCACAAAGCAGATTTTCAGTTAACACTTATGTTTATAATCTGTTTTTGAGACTAGATTCCGTTTTCCAGTCAGCAATATCTTCACCACTCGCGTGTTGCCCACATGTTCCATGCTGCTGATGATAGCAGTGCTACAACAACGAATGCTGTGACCCTGAAGTAACCTCCTCCCACATCTGGTGCCAAGTACCGCCAAAACCAGGAGCCACCTGCACCCCGCTGTGTCGCATATTTCTGTATTGATTTCTTACCCGTCACAACCAACCTGTAAACAGACAATTGAAAAATGTTCTAAGGGAGACAACTTGAACATACAAATGAATGAAACAATTCACTGTTGCAATTACATTCATGGAAAATTGTAATATCACATTAGCTAAGACAGAAGACCTTGTTTTTCTAGAAAGTCCTGCAAACTTACTGTAAATATGTGGTTAATGGTTTTTCATTTTCAAAATAAGGCTTTAAGTGGGCATGGGGCATCAGATGATGTACCAATTCATAAATGCTCTTATTTGTTAAATTCAGATAACAAAGTGAAATTAATTGTAATACATAGTGTATATGACAGCTGTGGGAACTATCCTTTGTATTGGAGTTGGATAGACTTACGCTTTTCTCTTGTAGGAGTTGATGGCCTCATTAGCCAGCTGAGTAGGTGGGTACTGGATAAACAGGTCCCCTGCTTCTCGAATCAGAAGCTCAAATGGTAAATTGTCTGGAATCTTCGACAAAAGTCCATGTAACACACACATATCACACTCACTGGACAGAATCTCTTTTTCACGGTACAACACAATCTGAAAGGAATAAAAGCTCAGTAAATGTAATGTAGAATTTATCAACATACACTGTTAGCACAGAAACACCTAGGAATATATCTGCTCTCACATAAAACTTCATTTTCTTCAAGTGTTTAAATTGTCCTTAAATACATAGGTATAACCATATATTTTAATTTTGATAACAAACTTTAGCCCACCTCTTATTTTTGCATTCTTTGCAGAAATGCGAAAAAGACAAAAGTTGAACTACCTCAGAAGTTTCCCTACATAGAGTAGTCTCCTACAAATGGTCTGACATTCCTTTTCTCTGAGGAATTTTTCTTATCCTATACAGCTTTTTATCTGTCAGATTCAACTACAATTTGAGAGACTGAAGTCACCAGTGTCTATATCTACTGCTACAATGGACATCAAAGTGCTGTTTACTGTAGAGTTATGGGACAATCATACTTACAACAGCTGCTAGGTATATGGGCATGAGAGGATGACAAGCGATGAAGAAGTCATATAACCGCACGATGTGTCGTAGGTCATCTAGTACATGTCCGTACCATGTGATCAACCAACTCAGGCTGAACACGGACCCAACCTCTGACCTGTACATATGATAGATGAATATGAAGTCAACCACTGAACTTTACTTAATAAATCTGTGATTTGATTAACCAATTCAGATGATGTAAACAGACTCAATGTCTGTCCTGACTTAATATCAACCTAACATTGGAATAGAAATCATAACTAACAATGAGTGAGACATGTGTTCACTAGTGTACTCTTTTTATAAAAAGCATCACTTACTCCTCCATGAAGTCCCGCAATTGTGGTTTAGACTTGCCCACAATAGGATACAGGTAATTCAGTATATGTTTGGTCCTATCCATGTTAGAATCCATGAAGTCCCTTAAAACACAAAAATTAATACATCAATATAATAAACTATCAAACCTATTGTTCTTGATTGAAGCATGAGTCCAGGGGTCTAACTTAGGAAGGAAATCCGAGCACCCAGGGATATCCCAGAACCTTTTCACGTCAGATAAGAGAGGCCAGTACCAGTGGCCCAGGTGAAAGATGAATACATGACCATGTGATCAAACTTTTACTAAGTGACATTTGAGATTATCCACTGTTACTAAGTGACATTTGAGATGATCCACTGTTACTTAGTGACATTCGCAATGATCCACTGTTACTAAGTGACAGTTGAGGTGATCCACTGTTACTTAGTGACAGTTTAGGTGATTCACTATTACTTAGTGACAGCTAAGGTGATCCACTGTTACTTGGTGACCGTTTAGGAGATCCACAGTTACTTAGTGACAGTTGAGGTGATCTAGTGTTACTTAGTGACAGTTTAGGTGATTCACTATTACTTAGTGACAGTTTAGGTGATCCACTGTTACTAAGTGACAGTTTAGGTGATCCACTGTTGTTAAGTGACAGTTTAGGTGATCCACTGTTGTTAAGTTACAGTCTATGTGGTACATGGTCACTGCATGTGACACTTGTGTTGTAGAGATTAATTTTTTATTGACAAGTGGTTGTATATACCTGAGATGATTCACAGACAGCCACTCCATGAGAGCAAAGGCTACATCCTCTCCAGCAACAAGCAAGAATGTCACACAGATATCATGGTAACCCTGTTAGAAAAATTGAAATCATCATGAGAAAGGTATAAAAAAAAGCTTCAACATTTCTGTGTCTAAAATATGTATCTCTAGAGAGAAGCCCCATTAACCATGCTTCATTATTATTGCATGGTTCATCTGTCCGATAAGTGCCATTGTCAGAATACACCTGCCACATGTATTTTTGCTGTATTGGGCAGTGACGGAAAACAGCTGTATTTTAGCACATGGCATAATTCAACAGAATTACTCTCTGAATTTACTTGAATATTACATTTAGAAATATAAATAGTTGTTAAAATAAGTGGGACAGAAAGATAAAAGTGGCTCACTACTTTTGTCTTTCTTCATCCTCGCCAAAATACAGCTTATGTTTAAGACACTGACCATGTTTTCTCCATATATTAGACTTTCTCAGCCACAAGATAAATGCTATAAACAGCATAACTCTACTAACCCTTACAGGTATATTTTATGTATCATAACTGTGATGTCATCATAACAGTTATATACCTCTGATAGAGACTATACATTTCATCACTCCTACATAAAAACAAGACTTCATCACTCTCATATAGACATTATACATTTCATCACTCCTACATAAAAACAAGACTTCATCACTCTCATATAGACATTATACATTTCATCACTCCTACATAAAAACAAGACTTCATCACTCTCATATAGATATTATACATTTCATCACTCCTACATAAAAACAAGACTTCATCATTCTCATACAGAAATTATACATTTCATCACTCCTACATAAAAACAAGACTTCATCATTCTCATACAGAAATTATACATTTCATCACTCCTACATAAAAACAAGACTTCATCACTCTCATATAGATATTATACATTTCATCACTCCTACATAAAAACAAGACTTCATCACTCTCATATAGACATTATACATTTCATCACTCCTACATAAAAACAAGACTTAATCATTCTCATATAGATATTATACATTTCATCACTCCTACATAAAAACAAGACTTAATCATTCTCATATAGATATTATACATTTCATCACTCCTACATAAAAACAAGACTTCATCATTCTCATATAGATATTATACATTTCATCACTCCTACATAAAAACAAGACTTCATCACTCTCATATAGACATTATACATTTCATCACTCCTACATAAAAACAAGACTTCATCACTCTCATATACATATTATACATTTCATCACTCCTACATAAAAACAAGACTTCATCACTCTCATATAGACATTATACATTATACATAAAAACAAGACTTCATCACTCTCATATAGACATAAAAAACAAGACTTCATCACTCTCATATAGATATTATACATTTCATCACTCCTACATAAAAACAAGACTTCATCATTCTCACATCACTCCTACATAAAAACAAGACTTCATCACACTCATATACACATTATACAATTCATCATACCTACATAAAAACAAGACTTCATCACTCTCATATAGATATTATACATTTCATCACTCCTACATAAAAACAAGACTACATTTCATATAAAGACAAGACTTAATCACTCTCATATAGATATTATACATTTCATCACTCCTACATAAAAACAAGACTTCATCACTCTCATATAGATATTATACATTTCATCACTCCTACATAAAAACAAGACTTCATCACTCTCATATAGATATTATACATTTCATCACTCCTACATATAAACAACAGACTTAATCACTCTCATATAGATATTATACATTTCATCACTCCTACATATAAACAACAGACTTAATCACTCTCATATAGACATTATACAATTCATCACTCCTACATAAAAACAAGACTTCATCACTCTCATATAGACATTATACATTTCATCACTCCTACATAAAAACAAGACTTCATCACTCTCATATAGATATTATACATTTCATCACTCCTACATAAAAACAAGACTTCATCACTCTCATATAGACATTATACATTTCATCACTCCTACATAAAAACAAGACTTCATCACTCTCATATAGATATTATACATTTCATCACTCCTACATAAAAACAAGACTTCATCATTCTCATATAGATATTATACATTTCATCACTCCTACATATAAACAAGACTTCATCACTCTCATACAGAAATTATACATTTCATCATTCCTACATATAAACAATAGACTTAATCACTCTCATATAGAAAAGATACATTTCATCAATCTTGTATATAAACAACAGACTTCATCACTCTCATGTAGAAACTATACACTTCATCACTCCTGTATATATAAAACAACAGATTTCATCATTCTCATATGATATTTTTCACCCCTCACATATAGAAAAGATACATTTCATCAATCTTGTATATAAACAATAGACTTCATCACTCTCATGTAGAAACTATACACTTCATCACTCCTGTATATATAAAACAACAGATTTCATCATTCTCATATGATATTTTTCACCCCTCACATATAAATTGAAGATTTTTTTCAGTTTAATATATAAACAATAGATTTGAATATTTCCATATAGAAATATATAGATTTCATCCCTCCCAATGACTATTGATTACATTATTCCCATGTATGAAAACTGTTGATTTCATCTCTCCCATATAAACTACAGAATTTTATACATATAGTAAATTTAACTCATCGCTACAGTAACTATCAAAATTATCTATCACTCATAAAATGTTTCACTCTCTGCCCATTATAAACTGGTAGGGTACAAAGTAAGACATGAAGCTCCTTGATCCTTTTGTTGCTCTGATAAGCATACAGTATGATAGATATTATTGTAAATGCAATTAGGCTTTATCTCTATGATATATCTCTCAGACAAGTGTAAATAAACTATCAGATGATCTAGTTCATAACACTATCTCATGTCTATTTTAAATACAACTGATAACCAATCACTTGTATAAACAGGAAATAATCTAGGTATATTAATATACAAATCTGGTATGTAATTGATGAAATGAGAAAAAGATTTCAAAACTAATTCCAGTATGCCTTTGGAAAGTTAAAATGAATAAATGCTAGAAGTTTCATGTTGATACCTCTAATTTTTTGTGATATGTTCCTGACATAATTATGATGAATTGAAAGGTGGACAAACAGACCAAGCTACAACTAATGCTCTTTCTTCAGGGAGCTCAAAATTGGTGACCACTTTTATCAATTTCATGTCAAACTGAAGCGAATCTAGTTCTATGTTTTTTTACCACATGATCAATCATTCAGGCAAATTTGGAAGAAAAAAGACATTCCCACTTAATTGTTAAGTCACTTCTGCTCAAACATCTACATTAGTTATATTACTGTGAGTTTTTGGCATCCTTTCATTATCTAAACTTAACATTCCAATTAGGTGTGTGACATGAATGCAAAACTATCCCTGGGCACACTCACTTTGACTTGGAGACGAGTTTCATTTTCATAACTCATTTATAATTAGAACAAATTTAAGATACTTTTTATCACATAACTCAGAACAGAAAAGACAGGTTTTAAAGTCAAAATGTGGAGGACAAAATTAAACGGAAGCAACTTTTTTGTTGTGCCATGTTCAATTCATGATGTAATATAATGCCACTATCTATTTCATGACATCATTGTTCATATTAAGGCATCACAATCAATTTCTTATTGGCATGAATGAAAATTGTGTAAGGGTATATTGCACAGTGACATGTCAATATAATCTAAAACATTAAATTACATACACTTCATAAAGTATACAGATTAGAGGTACTTGTAACTGAGATTTGTTGAATGGTGTATGGCTGTAAGTAATTTTTATTGTCTACTCTTGGCTGTCATAAACATGAAAGACTACACAGCCATTACTGATAACAATCACGCTTACCTGATAGTAGTGTAACTCTGGGTGTATAACGAGAACTCTCATGATGAGGTCAACAAGTTTATCTTGTAGTGACATCCGATGTTCTTCCTCCATACCTAACATAATAATATAGAGATAATTATTTGTAATGTAATACTGTACAAAAATTGTCACCTGTTCTGGAGGTGTTGGACTACCCTTCAAATATACAAAATTTGCACAACACTAACAACTTTCTGGTTGAATTAGTGCTGAATAACTACAGCTTTTCTTAACCTGAAATGAATATTTAGACTCAAAGCACTCATCAAAGTAATTAACAGTGGATATTCATATAAAATGCCTAGCTACTGAATGTATATAAAATAATATTATTTTAATGCAGTTCATTGTAATATACATGATAAATTATCATTTTCTTCTCTGTAAACTTCAACAAATGCCTGAAAGATTTAGACAGGCCATGATGAATCAAAGATTCAATTGACAGACCACTACATCAACTTGGAGCTTGTAATAAGAACTACGGTGTTTTTGATAGAAAATTGAATGGTCACATAGCCATTAAGAAAACACTAGTGTATATTCATAATATAGTTTAATATTTGGAAAAAAGGTCAACTATGGCACAATGGATTTCACAAAGAGCTTACCTGTATACTGAAGATTAAGGAATAACTGTCATAATGTGACAGAGAAAAGCAACACAACTACATTTTTACAAGTTATGTTGAGAAGATCTACTATGCTTCAAAAAAAATTATTAAAAATTGAAACAAAAATCTTCAGACATGATCAAGAGGAAGGGCCAAAACTCCTCTACAGAATTAGTTAGTACATGGCAAAGAATATCAAAAAATAGTAGCAACAACCTTAACCTTGATTCTACAACACTGAAAAAAAAGTCTTAAGAAATAAATCAGCTGAAGCACTGATGACGATTTTCCAAAAGTGGTTACAACAACCAAGATGTCCTTGAACCTTCTGCTCTAAAACTCAGACCCATCCGAGATATCATAGTCCTTTGATAAGGGTATGAAGTCTTATCAAAATCCCCAACAGACAGAAGATCAGCTAAAGTGCTGACAATAAATCTCGGTAGTAATGGTGATTTGAACTTGACGTTAGAACTCTGAAATTCAAGCTCATCTGAGATATTATGTTCCTTTTAAAAGAGATGTATGAAAATTGATAAAAAATTCCTCAAGGAATAAAGATGAAAGGACACTGACAAAGACAGGTGTTACTTACAAGAGGAGATAGAAATGTGCAATAACTCTTCCACAAATTGTAACAATTTGAAATGCCACTCAAAATTCAGTTTGTATTAATTAGCTGAAAAATGAAGAGACCTCAGTCAGACAAACAAAAAATTATAGCAACAGACAGATGAACAATGTTATTCATTGTATGTGTCTCATCAAAATCTGAGATGGACATACATAACAACAGCTCAAGGCCTTATTAGTTTCCAGTATCTGGCAATAGTTGTCTCAAGGCCAGGAGCTCTAAGGTTAATAAGCTGATAAAGTAAACATACAAGTTCAGCTGTCTGGTGATCGAGAATAAGCCATTCACAACTGTGTACGATTTCTGATTACTTCTTCGATTAACCTTTTCATAACCTTATGTATCAGGGGTCACCTATCTGACCACGTGGGTTTTCCCCTGGTACTTTGGTTCCACACTAAGACCTCTGGCGTCTGACCATCTGAGCCAACAAGAGTGATTGATATAAGTTTGATAAACTTATTTCACAATTGTTGTAGAATAAATGAAATGAATTTTTTTTTAATGAATGCTATTAAAAACTCTTTGGCCAACATCTACCATCATATGCTATTGATTTACATTCCAATATTATCTACCAAAACAACACTGTTGGAACACTGCGATCAACATCTAACATCACTTCAAATAATCCCCAACCAACACCTACAATCAGTTCAGATATTTTCAATCAACATCAACTAATGCAACACTGTTTAAAGACATTTAATAACCAACATCTACCAGCACACAGCTATTCAAGCACTCTCCAATCAGCATGAACAGAGTACTGTAATTTAAACACATATAACAAATACTTTCCATCAAATATCAACCACCATTTTTACTACTGTTCATGTATTCTCACACCAAATCAAATCACATACAACTGTTCAAATACTTTCCTCCAAAGATCTACCAACAAACTCTCATTTAAAAACTCTCCAACATACATCCACCAACAAAATGTCATTTAAATACTATCCAACCAAACATCTACCAACAAACTCTCATTTTAATACTCTCCAACAAACATCCACCAACAAAATGTCATTTAAATACTCTCCAACAAACATCCACCAACAAAATGTCATTTAAATACTCTCCACCAAACATCCATAGACAAACTGTTGTTTAAATAATCTTAACCAAACATCTACCAACAAACTGTTGTTCAAATACTCTCTACCAAACATCTACCAACACAATGGTTTAAATGCTCTCCAACAATCATCTAAGAACATACAACTGTCTATAACTACCTACTTTCCAACAACATGCAGCTGCTTTGATATTTTCAAACCAACACCTACCAACAAAGTCAGATTTTAATTTTTTTTTTATCATATGTTTATTTGGCCTAAATATAAATAGACAAAAATACCCACACCATTGATAACCAATAAATGACCTGGCTATTACCTACATGTACTCTTACAGTGTCTGTTATCCCTGTCTAGACTTTAGTCATCATCAAGTCAAGGTCAAACTAAAAGAAGTTCAAATGTTGTTGCAATAAAGGTCACTCAAAAGTTCAAAATATCTGACTAAAATCAAATCAGCATAGGACAACAGATTCAGACAATGTATACTACTTACAAGTACAACCCAAGGTTGTCCAATGTCCCTTTATACATTCTCAGATAAAGATCCAATCACTGTTTGTGGTCTGATCCCTACCCAGGGTGATTTGTGTTTCTAAGGAAACCAAGATCAAGTACCACCCTGTGACTTCATGATTGTAACTATGGGCAAGAGATTTTCTCCAAGTTGTTCCATATATCATGTGGCAGACAAGTTTCATTGAATTAGCCATCAACTATTTCCATGAGATTACCATGAGAACCTACATTAAAATGACTGTTCATGACGACCTGATGAATCTTATATCATACTGAGTTCCTGATAATGTACACATTTCTGTATTTGATGTTAAATAAATACTACTATAATTTGTTATTAGCTGATCATTATCGTATGCGGTAGTAATAATGTAAAAATTGAGTGTAAATATAAAACAAGCTATATTTGTATGTTAGTAATCATAAACAGTAGTCTGACAAGAATGATATATTGGATTCCATTTCCAACCATACTTTATCACCAGTAAATTGTCGGTTTTGTTGTTAGGATGTAATCAGTTACTGGAATAATCACATAATATGGCTGTAGAATTTTCAAGACACTACATGAAAGTATTGTTGATGAAAAAATTATGAAGTTTATGAAAGACAATCTTTGTTTTCATTCTGATATAAAATTTTGTATGAAAAAGACAATTTATATTAATTCTGTATTTTTTGTAATAAGCAATTTATGAATGGATAATTATCATTTACAGAAGAAAACACCACTTCCAATTAAAGCATATATATCTTGGATCATTTATCACTAAAGTCCTGAAGTTGTAAATGAATGTATCACATGCATCACACATGAACAGAGAGTTTCTCAAGGACAAATATATAACAGCAGACTTTTCAGACACATATCTACTATCTTATCTCACAATCATGTCATTACATATTGGACATATGAATGCAGGTGCATTTATACACTTATGATGAAGAAATAAGACTTACAAGAGTTTAAAATCTTAACACATGTATATCTTGATTGTATGAAAGAGTATGTTCATCTTCAGTAGATACTAACTACAGCCATACATACATGTATGCATGTAATTTCCCAAATACTAGTTTACTAAGTTTGCCCAAATTTGGTCTAAAGCATATGGGGTCAGATGGGTGGGGCCCCAATAGGAAAAGAGAGCAAATTCTTGAAAATCATTCTCCTCCAGTAGGAATGTATCAATTTTGCCTAAATTTGGTCTGAAGTATTCTTAGCTGAAGGGGATTCAATTTTGTATAAAGAGTGGGGTATCTGGCCCTTGAGGTGGGTGGGGCCAGGCCCAATAAGGGAAACAGAAAAAAATCTTTAAAATCCTACTCCTTTTGTAGGAATGATTGGATTTTGACTAAATTTGGTTTGAAGTATCCTTAGGTAAAGTGGAAATAGTTCTGTATGAACAGTGAGTCTCTGCCTTTTGAGACAATTTGGGTTGGCCTCTACGAGGAAATTGACCAAATTCTATAAAATCTTTCTTCTTCTGTAGGAATGTTTGAATTCTGTTCCAATTTGGTCCGAAGCATGCTTGGGTGAAGGGGATCCTACTAATTTTTTATGAACAATGATTCTTGACAAGAGGGGCAGGGCTCAAAAGGGGAAATAGAGCATATTCTTTAAAATCCTTCTTCTATTGGATTAATTTTGCCCAAATTTGACCTGAAGCATCCTTGAGTGAAGATAACTTTGTTTTCTGTTTTAGGGCAGATGGGCAGTGCCTTCTTGGGGAAATAGATACAAGTCTTTTAAACACTTTTTCTTTAGTTTTGACATAGCAATTTCAGCAATGTGAACCAGGTGAGTGATACAGACCCTAGGGGCCTCTTGTTCCTCCATTCAGCTAATTAGCTAATAAAGTCCATATACAATTATGACAGTCATAAAGGAGTAAAAAAATAAACAACACTCCCACCATAATTTGGGTGACAAATTATTTCCTATGTATATCCATCTGTGTGATAACCTTGAACACCCACATTCCTAGTCTAGACAGACTGACCAATAGATAAATTATTAGAGTGCACTCCTTCGAATAGTACATCATATTACAACTACATTGTACTTAACAAAGGATCTGTTAGCAGATGTTATCACACCACCATCTTACAAAGTGAATCTAATATTTTGCTTGTGTAATTATTTCAGAATTCATCATTTGTTGAAAACCATTTAAGGATTGTTTTTCTTTTCTGTATATGCATGCAAGTGTTTATATATATTGTGGTAATTGCAAATTCCATGGTGCTTATTGCCACGCTAGCATACCAAATAAAACCTTATTTTTACACTTCACAACCATGTAACATATCCCTAAAACATTTAAAATAAAATTACCTTATGCATATTTTTAGAGAAACAGTGGGTTGAAGTAAACTGCAAGATCATATCAGAAGATTGGAGATGCTATGACAACAATGACAACAAAATAGTCCCATGAGTAAACAATTACAGTTAATTGATGCTTTTATTTACATTTCACAAATATATTACATATATCTCATGTAACAGGTTAACATCTGGATTCTTACATGTCTTTTTCATTAAAATTATGTTAATATAAAAATTAGGAATGTATAGCAAACATCCCTCATATACAACTGATGTAAGTAATGACTAATCTGTATACTACAGAGTAAAGCCTAATCACCATGGGTAAATATTACGGATGTCAATTTTATAGAAACTGTAATTACATATCGGTATTCAAATATTCATTTTCATGTCAATTTCATAATGTATGTAACTTTCATAAGGCAGTCACTATACACTAATGTACCAGAGAATCAGAATGGTGCCTTCAATGGCTTGATTTCTTCAATGTCATGAACGGAACAAAAAACTACAGGTAGTTGAACTGAAAAAGTTAGTTGTAATACACGAGATCAATTTCTATGCTTATTAATCTGGCTTTTTATTTGATTTAAAAAAAATGTACATAACACACAAAAATGTCACAGAAAAAACACAACATGTATATCCTTTCATGGTTCAAAACTTGGAATTAGAATCTCTATTGAAAAATAACAATGACTTTTACCACATAATCCTAATAATACTTCAAAACATTGTTTCATTATATATGAAAATTTTACTAACTCCACATCCAGGTCATTTATTAGGCTCTGAACAACATGAAATCAAACAAAATGTGAGTGAAAATTTATATTGAAATGATTGATCCTACAGCACTTCTTTTTGTTGAAATTGTCAAAGAATTTCTCTCATAACGGGTCAACATGGTCATCACTATTCACAAAGTACTCATCGTCTTGATATAGTAGAGTAATGCTATCAGATAGCTGTATTACCTCTATTTTTTAATTACTGTCAATAAGCATTCCACAGAAAAGACCAACTTAAATGCTGATAAAGCCACTGACAGTGCTGTCCTGGACAGGATACGGGTAACCTTTGGCCCACTGTCAATAGCCTAATTAGGGTCATGATGAATTGTACATGTTTACAACTTTGAACACAAATCATATAATGATGACTTAGCTGATGAAATTCTAGTCTGAATGACAACTGGACAAGTCCTTGACAGAATCCATATATGAATTATAGTGACCTTCTAAATGTTAGTATCTATCAATCACGAAAACAAATATTTCAATATCATTTGCCTTTCGATAATAATGGAGGTAACAGCCTCCAGTATGACAATGGAGGTCACATACAGCTCAAGTATATTGATGGAAGTCACAGCCCCCAGAATATTGATGGAAGTCACAGTCCCCAAAATATTGATGTAAGTCACAGCCCCCAGTAAACTGATGGAAGTCACAGCACCCAGTATACTGATCCAGAAAATTGATGAAAGTCACAACCACCAGTATATTAATGAAATCACAGCCCCCTAGTATATTGATGGAGGTCACAACTTTCAGAATATTGATGAAGGTCACAGTCCCCAAAATATTGATGTAAGTCACAGCCCCCATTATACTGATGGAAGTCACAGCACCCAATATATTGATAGAGGTCACAACCCAAGTATACTGATGATGGTTACAACCTCCAGTATACTGATGGAAGTGTCAATTCTCAGTATATCAACGGAGGTCACAAGCCCGATATATTGATATATGTCACAACCCCAGTATATTGATGGAAATCATCACCCCAGCATACTGATGGAGATCACAATCCCTATTGACAGCCCCAAGTATAATGATATAGGTGATTGTCCTAAGTATATATTGTCAAAGGTCATTCTAGAATACCCATTTTCCACAGATTTTCTTTTTACATGACAAAATGATCTGGCAAACCTTACCAATCAGCAACCAAAGACAACAAAATTTGATGTACCTGGCGGAAATCTTTTTAGTGTTCTGTTAACATCTAACACAACTTGATTGTAGTCCCTGTGGCCCTGTAGGATTTCTTGATCTGTAAATATATCATATAAAACTTTAATCTTAGGTCATTTAATAATCGCTTTCCTCAAATCACTTTCAGTACAAAATGTAATCATTTCAATTTTTCAGTTGGAAAGTGTGTTCAAATGTTTGATTGGATGAAGTATCCCTGAGTGAACAAATACCGCAACAAATACAATTATCAACGTCTTAATGAAAACAACTGAGCATGAAAAACTTTAAAAGATTAGGTGAAATGTTATTCACATCTACATCTAGAAGTTTAAGTAAAGTCTTTTTACAAATATTGTCACTGAAACAATGGAAAATTTACCAGGCTTTGGTGGAATGTTATCCACATCTACACCTAGAAGTTTCGGCCAAGCTTTTTTACGGATATCATCACTGAGAAGACCTCCCCACATGATTGCGAGGTTCTTAAGCTGCCTGGTATCCACTGGACTGGAATCCATAGCTTTCTGAATGAGCTTGATTTTGTGACGCCGGTTAAAACCTAAAATAAACAAAAGAAATTAAGACTTAAAAATATAAAATAAATTTTAAAAAATCTATTCAGGTAAGAAACAATTTCTGGTTTTACGGGTTCTGATCTATTTCTTATATGCAGCAATTCTCTTTCCTCCCAAAATTAACTGAAAGTATGTAAGTTTATCTAAACTGCCGAAAACATTGTTAATATTCAGAAGCTGAGTCTTTTTTCATGGTTTTACTGTTGTTCTAGCAGTCATATTTATAGAATTATGATGTAAAATTTATTCTTTTACTTTTGTATTCAAATGTTTAATGACATTGATGGAAAGATGCTTATTACAGCTCAAGTAGCATTCTTTGTACAAAGAGGTCTGTGGGCCTTGATGGTCACCTGGCTATCAATGATGAAATAGCATTAGTGGTAGTGGAACAATTCTGAGTGTTAGCAGTAACAGACAATTCAGCTCTCACAACATTCCCATCTAATTTCATCTTAATATTACCAACATAATGGAACTGGAGAAGAAGAACAAAATATATTTTTTATGATGGTAGCCAATTTTGATTTCGGACAAATCCAACAAGAAAACCAAGTATGCTCAGAACCATGCCAGGATCAGTTCTTGCAAGTTTCAGTTGAATCCCACTGATAGAGCTAGATAAACAGTACAAATATGTGTTGTTCAGAGAAGCCATGATTGTGCAATCATATTAAACAATGGCAGCCCTCTGGCTGTGACTTCACAGTCAAGGTGAAAAAGGTATTACTTTTGTCGTCTTATGTTCTTTAACATCCCCACCAATATCCAGCTCAATGGCAGCAGTGGAACTTGAGAAGAAGTCCTACGCTAAAAATAACAACACTTGTTCAGGATCATCATCCTTCATCAGCTTTAAGAATAGCACAATAATGGCTTAAGATGCTGCGGATCAGGAGTGACCATTCTTGATGAAAATCAACAACAAGCTCCTATCGGCTGACAGGAAGCTATGGACAATTGGTATAAAGCTTTACAGTAACATATTCCCATGCATGCTTGATCAAGTTAAGGTTGGGTGAAAGACTGGGCAAGCCTAATAGTTTCTGCTTAAAGGTACTCATCAACAAGTGTAGCTCCGTGTGGTTGAGCAAACGGTCTTACATTTGGATAAAGGATTTCATCCCACTACCATTAAACTGAGAGGCTACCACCTCCAATCATGTACAGGTCAGACTGACCATTAAAACTTATCCCTGCCATAACCAAGCCCCCACCAAAAAGGTCATGCACAGTAATGCAGCAGTCAGTATACCACCCCATGCAGGGCTAGAAAAAAATATTTTCAGCAAACTCGTCTGTCGGGCAAGTGAAATTTGAAATTCACTTGCCCGAATCCAATATTTACTCACCTGAAGAAAATCGGCAACAAAACATAATTTAAGGAACACAAATTTTATTATCAATTTCTATATCAAATGTCTGAACTCAACACTTGTTTTTATTGTTTTACTCATATTTAATTCACTGTTAATGCGAGCAAAAACATTGACTTTTTGACAGTAACTACGAACACAAAACAACCTTGTTTACAACATTTGTGGTGAAGTAATGGGTTTTCGCGTAGTCTGGATCAGCCGGAGTCTTCATACCTGGTGTAAACAAGGATACTACATAGATGTATTTGATCCACTATCAGTGGATTTAAATTAGTTTTAAGAGTGTTCAAGTTGATAAACGTCATTTATCATGGAAAAATCAATAGTCAGACCTACAAATTTCACTTGCCCGCCACACAAGTAGCTGAAACAAACCACTCGCCCGCAAGTACGTTTGGCTCGTCTAGACGAGCGGACGAGTGGATTTTTCTAACCCTGCCATGCCAAACATGTCTCCTGCCATCATGAAAGTCCACACAAAACCTGGGCTCATCCCTAAAACAAATAGGCTGCCACCAATTCACATGGTCAGCTGCCCAATGCTGCCAAGCCATGATGATGTGTGAATCGCAAGCATACAGCAGGTGTATGAGTGCATAATCCAGAGCTGTAAAGTCTATTCCTTACTGTTTGTGAAGAAATTCTTCCAGCTGCTTGACGGAACTTGTTATTTAAGCCAGTGGAATTTTGAGCTAGAATAACAATCCTGATGGCTGTTGGACACTGTGGCCTACCCCACTGAGGTTTATCAGTAACATTTTTGCTCATCAGGAATCACTGATCAAGGAATGACACTCTAAGGCACATCTAAGTGTGCAGTCACAGTTTGTTGTGACTCTCCTGCTTGCAGCATTCGGACTGCTTGGCCAACCTCTGAAGCTTTCATGTGGTGTCTCATGCTAACAAAAGTTCAAAACAAGATGCAAAATTACAGGACATTTAGAGGGAACAAAATTTTTTTCATTTCAAGCCCACACAGACTTTCAATAAAACCAATGCTGACGGTTGGATTTTGACTTGTGTTACAAGATGTCTTGTTGCACCTTTACTTTAGGTTGCACTGGCAGATTGTTACCGAAAATATTTTGTGCATACCTTGGTGACAAAACGGATGTCAAGAAGTGTCTATGTTAATGGCAGAAAAAAATATATATATTTATAATCCTCATTTTTTTGTATCCAGCATATATATCTACATGTATATATGCCAAAGTCATTATGCAAAAAGCTAACAGCTTTTCTTTTTGAGTAGTCTTAAAGTTTTATAATACTGGTATACTATCTGCAGAATGCATGGATAATGCTATATATACTGAGGCTACTTTTGGTGAGTGCAGTAATAAAGAGTTTTATGGCATTGTGTCGAACACCCCAACAATATCAACAAAGGTCTTACATTGTGTATGTCATCACATTGAACAGCTGGTTGCTTTTTTTCCTCGCTGCATGGAAGGAGAACTGTTGAGTTGATAAAAAGATATTTTTATTGACAAAGTATCTTTTCTAGCTCTCATGTGGAAATCAAAACAGTCAATTTAAGTATGGCCGCTAAACAATTAGTGCAAAATTGTCTGTTTTTGTAAATGACTGCATTTACATGTATTAGTACATATGTATGTGTAATTACGTCACCAAATTTGTTTACATCATGTTCTGGTCATGTAAACAAGTACAGATGCTAGGCAAGAGAAGAACATTGATCAAGATAAAGTGTCGTCCTATTACCCCTCGTGGTAAATAAATGTCGAATAAGTTGTGGGTGTTGGTCACAGGTGGTGTATATGGTGTTAGACATGATCCGGCAGTGCTCAGTGCATGACTTCGTACATTTATACCGGTAGGCCTAAATGGACGCATACATGGACGGATTTTATCTTACTTTTACAACCATCGTCTTCTGTCTTCTTATCAGCATCATGATTGTTGTCGGTGCTGTCTAACGTGCCCATTCCAGAAGGGAGAGATAAACATAGCTGACAAAAATATAACACTTCATTCACATTTTTCGCAAACGTTTACGTTTACATGGCTTCGTTAGCAGACGGCTTGTCGCTTATATCGTTATAAAACATTATTATTTGTGATTTCTATGCTTCATCATATGGTTATCGTATGATTTATGTATATTTTAAACTGACGTTTGAAATTCAAGTTATCTTCAGTTTTAACAATCAAATACCAATTATGCCATTTTTCGTATTTATTTTTTAATGTTGAAGCGATTTGTTTACAGATTGTTTTATTTCCGGGAACAAGATGGCAAGTACGAAGACAAGAATGCGCCGGACAATAAGTTGTAATCATGTTGAAGATATGAATAAAAATGAAGTGAAAGAAAGATCAAATCAACCAGACAAACCGTGAGTTCATTTCCATGTTTGTTTCTTTGATCTATGTATAGCAAGTATGCAGTGCAACTTGTGTTTACCGTGGGAGTTCATGCATGATCCACGTGATCAAGTGTAATGCTTAATCGTGTTTGAGAATTTTGTTTTATGCCGACGTTTCATTGGTCAACAGATTTGTTTCATGCTATCGACGTGTATATAGATGAAGCAAAGAAGGGGTCAAGGAAGTCTCAGATTGGCTCTCACGGTTGAGTGCACTGGATAGTCGACCTGAGCTTACCTGTACCCTAAATAACATGAACTGGAAGCGTGCAGTACTATTTTGCACGACCGGCTTGTTTACACAGTACAATGAGCCGTACTCATAAAAGAAAGACACTTGGCACTAACAGGGCTCAGTGTAACTTGCGACTGTATGGTTGTACAACATTCAGAATTTGTTCATAGTTGTTATGAACAAGACTGCAAATTGAATTCTGGATTTTCGTTGGATTTGCCTCAGTGGTAACCACCAACACTATCTGTAGGTTTTTGTTGTGAATATATATTCAATATGTTGATTGAAGGAGAATTAGTCGAGACTTTTACTTGTGATGATTCTCTTTCAATGAGAACAAGTTCTGAGCATTCTGTCTGCAATAACAGTAAGGCTTACCTTCGAAAATGTAAACGTAGCAATGCAAATCAAAACTTAAATAAGGAAACATATGAGCAGTCAGAACTGTCTTTTTCAAAAACTGATTCCTGTTCTGAATCAGAAGATGAAGAAGGTGATTGTTGTAGTAAATGTCAGTTAAATCAAAGAAAGATAAGACCAAGAAAAAATTCTAGTGACTCTGCATATTCAGACATTAGCACTAGCAGTGAACAGAGTGGTAAAGATGAAGGAACTTTGTATTCACCAAAGTCGAGATGGTATATGCCAATTTGGTTATCAGAAATTCTTGAGGAACCTGAATATACTATGGATTCAAAAGATAAAATCGGAAAAGATCAGTAAGTATATTTTCAATGTGTTTTTAATTTCTTTTTTGAAGAATTTCTTTTTTTTTGACCTTTTGAAATTGCCATTTTTTTTTAAAGATAAAAAAAATGAAAATTAAAATACACAAAAACTGTTCAAACAAAAGTTCTTTTGGTCTCTGTGACAATAAATATAAAATGACAATTCCTTAATTTTGTTGCTAAAGGGCAATCATTCATAACATATAAAGAAAGACTCACATTAAACTGTTAGATTGAGGCAGTTTCAACTTTCCAAGGGATTTTCCAACTTCTTTGTCCGGTATATCATGGTGTTAAGAATAGTTACAGTAAAGAATAAATATTACAGAAAAAACTGTATTGTTAGCAATGTTAACTTATCTCTAGTAATTTGTTTTGACTATGAACTTTAATTTTTGTTCAATTTTCTTTCACTTCACACATAGATGTTTCAATACATTTGACTTTTTTTTAATAGGGGAGATTGTGATATGGATTTGCAGTTGTTCATATGTTTGTCAAAAGTATTGTTTGCATAGAGATCTGTTACGTGTTTAGTTTATTTTTTTGAGACTTGATAGAATTTTTCACCATGAAATGAAGTTTTGCATTCGATGAACAACATTTTGATAGGACAATCTTTAGAAGAGTTATTGCCCTTTGTTTATTTACATCTCTGAGTTCTTAGTTGCTATGAAACTTTGTAGCTTTATTACATGAATTCTTGAACAGAATTTAGATTTGACAATTTTTGAAAGAGTTTATTGCCTTTTCGTGTTTCTTAGCATTTTAGTCTTTTGTACTTTGAATTATGTCAAACGTAATGTATTTCGCTTTAATATATTGGAGGTTTCCTACCAAAAGGCAAATGTACTGCTGATTTACATTGTTGTTATCCAGCAAAGAATGCACATGTTTGAACTATCAAGGGCCTACAAGTTTTTGTTTGAATGTAATTATATATCACTACATCGTAAAGATTTTTTTGTTCTGATTTGATCAGATATTTTCCATATCTAATTTCTGCACAATGTATGTGTCTAACAATTGAATAAATTATAAATCTAAATAAAAAGTTGACAATCTTAGGTAAGAATGTACTTGTTTACTCCACAGAATCCACAGACATGCTGATTCATTATTTAGTACAGCCAGCGGATTTACCAACTATCGGGGACTCCTCAACCTTTGTATTCTACTGCTGGTAAGTTTACATTGATTTTATTGCTGTATATATTTTGAAGACTTATTTTCTTTCTCCTTTCGAAATGTCAATATGACTTTTATTGTTAATGGAAGCATGGATGTTTGAAGTATGTCAAGTCAGTTATATTGTTATTGGAGGATAAGAAAATTCTATTCCAAGAATTCTGGTTCAGACTGTTTAATGAATAATTTACTCTTTTAGGTCAAATTTCTTGAAGTCTTATGTAGATTTTACTACAATCTCAGACTACAATTTTTGTAAAATACTTGGACAGTGATTTAGGATCAAATTTATTAGGGCGTTCAGTTTAAATTTATTAGGGCATTCAGTTACATGTTATCAAAGATAAGTATTGAAATTCTAAAGTTCAGATAGGAGTTACTTATATAATATATCTTTATATAATAACTAGTGCCAAGGTAAAGGTTATGTATATATATATAGGTTGGCACATAAACAAGTGTCTGAGCATTATCTCCACATGTGATATTTACCTGTAACGGTAGCAAGACTTTACAGCTCCAGTACTGTCAGCTTAATATTGTCATCACAAATAATGTTTAAAAACATTTGTGACATAATTATTAACTCTAAGTCAAGAACATACCTTATCTATTGTATGTTAATGAGGTTTTTACATAAAACTAAGACTGACATCAATAGAAGATTAAGTGGTGGGATTTTTGTTAACAATACTAACACTACATATCGTGCACTTTACTGAATAATCCACCAGGCCCAAATTCTTTCAAATCTTGTTGAACTTGAACTTGACATTCAACCAGTGGAGGAATAACAATTTAATGTTTATTCTCATGTACCAGCTCTGATCAAGGCTTGTGCCACGAGGAAGTGTCCTTGAGGTGTTTTACAGTCACTTAATCTAAAGCAAGACTTATACAAAACAGATACATCCCACAGAGACTATTTCATAATCCAAAATACTTTTAGTAAAATTATCTGTGATGACAATTAAATCCTTTAAAATAAGTAGTTATGATCTTATTATTGAAATTCTACCAAAACTGTTGATCTGCTTTTTTTTTTTTTATAAAATTGTCTTTACAATGTTACAACAGAACATGATAATGTATATTCTGAACTTGATTCGTCACAGTCAATTGTTTCCTAATAAACTTTATAAAGATTTGAGCGTCTTTTGATTTAATGAAGGAATTCTTGGCACACATTATGTATAGGATGACTTTATTTCCTACAGGAGGCCCATTGCATGCTATTCAAAGCAATAAGGGTAAAGTGTCTTGCCAAAGGACACAACAATCTCAGTACAGAAACTGTGTGTCTGTCTGTCTGTCTGTCTGTCTGGGGAGGAGAGGGGGGTGATGGTGTGTGTGTGTGTGTGTGTGTGTGAGAGGATGAGGGTGGATGTGGTCGTGCGTATGAGTGTATGCTACATGGATGTATTATATATTATATATGTTTATGTATATGTTCTACTTTTGTGTCTATGAGTCGTAAGGCTGGGGGCTAATAAAGAAAGAAATAATGAGACACTCCTAATGAGTAATACTTCAGTAAATTGTGATCAGTGTGGAAGGAATGTAAAGGGCCTCCCATATGTTATTGAATGAAGTAGCCACCAACTGCTGAAGGTAATGACCACGTCTTTCAAGAATAACCCACCAATCAAACAAGCATGCACATGTGTACATGAATTATATGACTGCATGAATAGTGAATATTTGTTTGTTTTCTTTACAGGTGTTGGCAAATACAAGACTGTTCTTGGAAAACATTTTAAAGTAAGATAATTCACAATCATTTGATTGGAGACAAAATTACTTTACCAAATCAACATGCATGGAGAATTGGTCTCTTTTAAAAGTTCAATGATATGATTAAATGGAAACGCCTTTCTTGCTGCATTACTTATAGCTGTGAAAACCAATATATTACTAACAGCAAGTTGTACAGTTGATTATTTTGACTGGTATACACTTTACAGGTAATTATTTTGACTGGTATATACTTTACAGGTGTATATTTTGACTGGTATATACTTTACAGGTAATTATTTTGACTGGTATATACTTTACAGGTGTTTATTTTGACTGGTATATACTTTACAGGTAATTATTTTGACTGGTATATACTTTACAGGTGTTTATTTTGACTGGTATATACTTTACAGGTAATTATTGTGACTGGTATATACTTTACAGGTGTATATTTTGACTGGTATATACTTTACAGGTAATTATTATGACTGGTATATACTTTACAAGTAATTATTGTGACTGGTATATACTTTACAGGTGATTATTTTGACTGGTATATACTTTACAGGTGTATAGTTTGACTGGTATATACTTTACAGTGTATATTTTGACTGGTATATACTTTACAGGTAATTATTTTGACTGGTATACACTTTACAGGTAATTATTGTGACTGGTATATACTTTACAGGTGTATAGTTTGACTGGTATATACTTTACAGGTGTATAGTTTGACTGGTATATACTTTACAGGTGTATATTGTGACTGGTATATACTTTACAGGTGTATAGTTTGACTGGTATATACTATACAGGTAATTATTTTGACTGGTATATACTTTACAGGTGTATAGTTTGACTGGTATATACTATACAGGTAATTATTTTGACTGGTATATACTTTACAGGTAATTATTGTGACTGGTATATACTTTACAGGTAATTATTGTGACTGTATATACTTTACAGGTGTATAGTTTGACTGGTATATACTATACAGGTAATTATTTTGACTGGTATATACTTTACAGGTGTATAGTTTGACTTGTATATACTTTACAGGTAATTATTTTGACTTGTATATACTTTACAGGTAATTATTTTGACTAGTATATACTTTACAGGTGTATAGTTTGACTGGTATATACTTTACAGGTGTATATTTTGACTGGTATATACTTTACAGGTGTATATTTTGACTGGTATATACTTTACAGGTGTATAGTTTGACTGGTATATACTTTACAGGTGTATATTTTGACTTGTATATACTTTACAGGTAATTATTTTGACTGGTATATACTTTACAGGTAATTATTGTGACTGGTATATACTTTACAGGTGTATAGTTTGACTGGTATATACTTTACAGGTGATTATTTTGACTGGTATATACTTTACAGGTGATTATTTTGACTGGTATATACTTTACAGGTGTATAGTTTGACTGGTATATACTTTACAGGTAATTATTTTGACTGGTATATACTTTACAGGTGTATATTTTGACTGGTATATACTTTACAGGTGTTTATTTTGACTGGTATATACTTTAAAGGTGTATATTTTGACTGGTATATACTTTACAGGTAATTATTTTGACTGGTATACACTTTACAGGTAATTATTTTGACTGGTATATACTACAGGTAATTATTGTGACTGGTATATACTTTACAGGTAATTATTTTGACTGGTATATACTTTACAGGTGTATAGTTTGACTGGTATATACTTTACAGGTAATTATTTTGACTGGTATATACTTTACAGGTGATTATTTTGACTGGTATATACTTTACAGGTGTATAGTTTGACTGGTATATACTTTACAGGTGTATATTTTGACTGGTATATACTTTACAGGTAATTATTTTGACTGGTATACACTTTACAGGTGTTTATTTTGACTGGTATATACTTTACAGGTGTATAGTTTGACTGGTATATACTTTACAGGTGTATAGTTTGACTGGTATATACTTTTACAGGTGATTATTTTGACTGGTATATACTCTACAGGTGTATATTTTGACTGGTATATACTTTATAGGTGTATAGTTTGACTGGTATATACTTTACAGGTGTATAGTTTGACTGGTATATACTTTACAGGTAATTATTTTGACTGGTATATACTTTACAGGTGTATAGTTTGACTGGTATATACTTTACAGGTAATTATTTTGACTGGTATATACTTTACAGGTAATTATTTTGACTGGTATATACTTTACAGGTGTACAGTTTGACTATATACTTTACAGGTAATTATTTTGACTGGTATATACTTTACAGGTGATTATTTTGACTGGTATATACTTTACAGGTGTATAGTTTGACTGGTATATACTTTACAGGTGTATATTTTGACTGGTATATATTTACAGGTAATTATTTTGACTGGTATATACTTTACAGGTGTATAGTTTGACTGGTATATACTTTACAGGTGTATATTTTGACTGGTATATACTTTACAGGTGTATAGTTTGACTGGTATATACTTTACAGGTGTATATTTTGACTGGTATATACTTTACAGGTGTATATTTTGACTGGTATATACTTTACAGGTGTATATTGTGACTGGTATATGACTGGTATATACTTTACAGGTGTATATTTTGACTGGTATATACTTTACAGGTGTATATTGTGACTGGTATATACTTTACAGGTGTATATTTTGACTAGTATATATATTTTGTATAATAATTGTAATTTGACCTGTACATCTTGGTTTACAGATATGGGATATTGATTGACCCCTTAAAGGTCATTCATTTGTTCCTGTCACAGCCCTACAGCTGGCCCAACATCTGTCTCGTCCTAGGTAGGTCAAATATAAATCATAAAATTAGTAGATGAAACTTGCTAGGGTCATTTTAGGCAGGTGAAATTGGGGTCATCAAAGTTGGCAAAACATGGGGGTAAACTTAAATAGATCAGACTGGACTCATTTTGTAATAATCTAAATACATCAAACAGTGGTCATCATAAATATGTCAATTTGTGGTAATCCTTTTTAAGTTGAACTGATGTGGTCATCTGAGGACAGTTACTTGAAGATGATCTTTAAACTCAGGTCTGTCACCTTTAGCACCTTAAATCTGAGTATGTGACATCATCTGTCTTAAACTCTAGTTTGGGACCATCATTGTCTTCATAGTCTATCTATCTTAGCATTGAAATACTTTCAGATGGCATTCATGGGCATATGAATGCTAACAGGATAAGGATAAGTTTAATGAGGCATACAGCACTTTATGTTGAATTTGCCCTTATCCTACTGGCATTCATATGCCCATGAATGGCAAATGAAATAATTTTAATGCTTATATTTATCATTTGCAATTTTTGTCTTATTATAAGGGTAGGAAACATTTACATTATTGCAACATTCCTGCCTGCACCATTACATTAGTTATTAATGAGCTGGTAATACACCACTTGCTTTGGTAAAGTTTCCTCATAGTTATGCCATACAATGGTAAATATATTCATAAGAAGTATGTTAGGTATACCGTCAAGTGGTGAGCCATATCCACACATGTACAGTATCTTTGGACTGCCTTGAAAAAAATCAAGTTATCAACACTCTAAAAAAAAGGCATGAAATGATTGTATATATGGAGAGTGGATGGATAGTCAGAAATACATGTATAATCATATGTTAACATGTTAGGGATGATATGAACAGAGACACTTAATTGTCTTGTGTATGTTGTATTCAATACAAAACAAAAAAACAAAAACATGTAATATTTAATGCTTTATTTCTTTAGGTGCTGGAGCTTTCATATTGGTAGCGTACTACACAGAACGTCTACTGGCAAAGGTAATCATATATATAGTGTGCAACTTGTGTCCTTAAGTGGTCTGTCAGGGTTACATGTCCTGATAACATTGTTTCAGTGTCTCCCTACAACCCCCCATAATACACTTGTTTACTTTTCTAACAGATAACCACATTCCAAGGTCAGATGTACATAAATAGCATGGTGTGTCCTTGACTACACCTCCTGTGTATATATTTCCGCTATTCAGCAGAAATGTGTTTGTTCTTCCTCCCGTATTAAGTCATCAAAATCACCCAGTTTAAAGTGTACTATATGACATTTTATCACTTTAGAAGAAATCTTTAAAATTTGAATAAATAATTTCCTATCCAACCATGATTTTAAATGTGTGGTAGTAGAAAATTAATTATTAGTCTTGATACAAGAGTTTGACATGGATGTAATGTCCTCAAGGATAGTCTTTTCTGGCCAATTTTGCTGAAGATAACCACGAGAATGCTAATACCATCTATCACTTCTTCTATGGATGTGATTCATATGTTAATGCTCACAATGAAAGGCTTCAGTTTTCCAATAATTCCAGAAGGCCTAAAATAGAGGTTATAAATAGTGCCTTATCCTTTTATCCAGTTGGTTTATAAAGATATGTTTTAAAGTCTGTAATGACTTGTATGTTACAACAGGTAAGAATGATCTTAACAACACAACTATGTTTTATTGGGAATGCTAAAATGAATTAGTTTGAGTGTACAACATGGTGTGTGTTACATGTGCATCAGAGAGCTTTATTTTGTATTTTTACAGGAGTATGTGTCAGAGAAGTTCGGGTTCCTTGTACACGCTATCAATTTAAGTTTGTTACTGATCATCCCAGCTGGTGTGATCCTGTATCTCCACCCATTCCCAGGTATGTACAAAATACAGACAATGGGAGGCTAATAGTAGACCCTGTGATGTAAATGTTAGACCATGGGAGGCTAATAGTAGACCTTGTGATGTGAATGTTAGACCATGGGAGGCTAATAGTAGACCTTGTGATGTGAATGTTAGACCATGGGAGGCTAATAGTAGACCTTGTGATGTGAATGTTAGACCATGGGAGGCTGATAGTAGACCTTGTGATGTGAATGTTAGACCATGGGAGGCTGATAGTAGACCTTGTGATGTGAATGTTAGACCATGGGAGGCTGATAGTAGACCTTGTGATGTGAATGTTAGACCATGGGAGGCTGATAGTAGACCTTGTGATGTGAATGTTAGACCATGGGAGGCTGTTAGTAGACCTTGTGATGTGAATGTTAGACCATGGGAGGCTAATAGTAGACCTTGTAATGTAAATGTTAGACCATGGAAGGTTAATAGATTCTGTAGAATGGTAAATTATTTGATGTCAATAGTAGACCATCTGATGTAAATGTTAGACCATGTGATGTCGATGTTAGATTATATGTTGTCACATAATATGTTAGATATAAATAGACCATTCCCAGATTTGGCTTTCACAGAAGTAGACCCTGAGACTTAGAGATTGAAATGGGATTTTTTTGTGTCAAATTTCGTAAAAAATTTAGACATCACAACAATACATCAATAGTATTTACATACATAAATTATTGATCAAAATCAACTTTGAAATTTAATTTTTGATATGTTTCTGGAGGGAAAGGGAGGAGACATAAATTTCAGCCTATTTCGCATTTCACCTGAAAATAAACATACTAACATAGCAGAACAGGTGAGAGGTATAATTACATGTAATTATTGTAATATTGTTTTGCAGCATTTTCCTGTGTAACATGTGGGGTATACACTGTGTCATTCCTCAAACTTGTGTCCTATGCCAGCGTCAATAAATGGTGCCGACAGAAGAAAGAGACTAAGAAAGTCCGACGGAGCAGGTCAATGTCAGAAAGTCCAAGTAAGTAGTCACTTAGTAACTGGCCTGTCTGTAGGGAACTTGTTAATGATCATGATCTGATACTGACTGTCTTTGGGTCGAGTTCAAAATGTGCAAAGAATGTGTTAGTTCATTTAACAATATGTCTCCTGGATTAGAATCCATGAGGAGTATAGATATAGTGTAAATTTGTGTTAACATAAATATATATAAACCTTGTACATCAATTACCGGTACCTTCTATAACCAACTCCTTCCTCCTCAACACTTCTCTTTATTTTCTTTCTCACCTAAGTTAGTTATGAACATATTTGATAAAAGTCCTGAAATACTAGTACACATACTGATCCTGTTTTAAATTAAGGTAGTTCACTAATAGTATTTTTCTTTATACAGAGAATGGTGTAAATGGACAAACAGCTAACATCGTTGTATCCTACCCAGATAACCTCACACACGGTGGTAAGTACACTCATGTCATTTCAAGTTGTAGATTTCAAAAATTGTATTTGAAAGTCTTTGACATCACAATATATGTTTAGTTTGAAGGTCACAGATATCAACTTGTTATTGTGCCATTGTAAGTGGTTAAGATGGTGAGTAGTGCAGTAATAACACATTTACCTTTCACGATGGTTACTAGGAAGCATGGGGTCACATGACCTACCACACAGGGTCTCTGGTGTCCTGCCCCTTGTACACTTCCATCTTAGCCAACAGAAGTAATTAATTAAAGTTTACATAATTTTTATTGTAAAATGAATTTAATTAAAGTTAATTAATTAATAAGTATAGTCAAGTTCAGTGTACATGTATAAAATTTGCCAGAAATACTTTCATTATTTTTTTCTATTGTTATTACAGATCTGTGGTACTTTATGGTGGCCCCTACTTTGTGTTACGAGTTAAACTTTCCTCGTTCTCTAAGGATAAGGAAACGTTTCCTCATCAAACGAATCGTGGAAATGGTAAGCATTCCATGAAATTATTAAATAAAAATACTTTCTGTATTTGTTCATAAATTCTTAATCACCTTGTCATGATTCTCTCTCTGATAGAAATGATAAATTCTAATTCGTAGTTCAATGCGTGAATGAGCACATCAAATAAAATCTATTCTTGTAAGTTGTTACGCTTATAATTCTTATGAAGAATCCTCCGATAATTTTACTGATTAAAACTTTTATGTCTTCTGTGTAATAAAATATATTAATGAACTATCAGAAATATGCAGTTTTATAACTAGACTTAATATACTCTTTATATTATTAGAAATCTGTTGAGCATTACAATTATTCTTATGGGTTACCTGGTATTCCAATATAGCTGCTCTTAGGCATATCTCAGCATGCTTTCTCGAGGAATGTTTATATTTGTATTTTTGAAACCTTTGAATGTTTTCAATTTGTATTCGCTTAATATTAAAGAATAGTTCTGTTTTACTTTCAGCTGTTTCTGTCTCAGCTGATGCTTGGTTTGATCCAACAGGTAATGCTACAGCAAAATTGATATTGGTAATCTTAACGTTAGGCTTTTTAAAAAAAGTAATTTGTTTTTGTATGTGTATATGGTATTACAAAAGTCTGGAAGAAACAGGATGTACTTTTCATTAAAATCGCGAGAGACACTGTTATAGTTTTCTCTAGCTTTAATGTTATTTTCTAGGTATGAGTTTTCACAATTTTACTGCATTGAAAGTAGCATAAGATAGAATACCCAGTATTTGGCCACCATGCACAATTTTGGCAGAGAAAAATACATCATAATTTCTGTCTCCTTCAATTGGCCAAAGTTAGTTTTTACCCCCCAGTATATTAGTAATGACCTTTTAATCTTGATACAGAATTATGTTTCTAACTATAGAGTTAAATACGGAGCTATTACCCCTATACATTACATCCCAATGTGACCCTTTGTTCTTACATCCCTATGTATACAAAGCTATAACCCTTTGTTTTTACAATCCAATATAATACATGTACAAAGTATTGTTTTTACCAACTTAAGAATTATTTCACTGTAGTGGAGATTCTTTGTCTCGCTCACAAGAAGGTTAAGATTGTATTGATGTTATGTACAGTATAGGACTTAAGTGTGTGCTTATCAGTATTACCTTTGTTTCAGTGGATTGTGCCGACTGTACAGAACTCAATGAGACCACTTCAAGATTTGGAGCTGTCTCGGGTTTTAGAAAGGCTGCTCAAACTTGCGGTATGTGAGCAAACTTTTGAAAAATTCACATACCTCAGCTTTAAACTTCTGTTTTCGTGTCAGACATCTTCCTTCTAATATCCTTGATTTCTTACAGTACATTTTACAAGATTTCATTGTAAAACAGATGACACATCAAGGGGGAAACAACAGTAACATTATAATTGCAAATAGGATTATAATAATTTTTTTTGTTTATCAATCCACAAGATACATATTAATTTTGTAGGTACATGTACTCAAAAATAGACAAAGGTTACACTGGTACTTTTATTTGGAGATACGTTTTCCCAAAAATTTAACAAGATTAGATGAGTATATTACTTTTATTTATAGGTACCTAACCATTTGATATGGTTGATATTTTTCTACTGGGGTTTTCATTCCTGTCTCAATGTATCAGCAGAGCTACTAAAATTTGGTGACCGTGAGTTTTACAAGGACTGGTGGTAAGTTCATTTAGTTTCTGTATAAAATGAAGGATGTTCAATAGGTCATCCAAGTGCTTCTCAAATCTCATATCTTAAGAATAACTGAATTTACATCTTTAACAATTATGCTAACATGTAACAAAACCTTCTGCAACATTACAAGTAGCAAAGCTATAGATATATCCAGGGTGTATTCTTGTACAATATTTAACTGGGTTTTGTATTACTTTTGGTTTACATCTATTTTACGTATGTCTGGTATTATTGAAGTCATCACAAAAAACATGTACAACATCGTGAAACTCACTACAACTTGTTTTATAAAAAAATCGGAAATCTTGATTGAATGTTTATTATTGATGTATAATGTATGTGTTACAGGAATGCAGAGTCTGTTACAGAATTCTGGCAGACCTGGAACATTCCAGTACACCGCTGGTGTGTCAGGTAAAATGTTACACCTCAAGTCAGCTTGTAAGCTTGATAGAAAATAAAAGAACTATAATATAAGGATGACTTGATAAAGTCAAATGTTACACTAGAAAAGAAATATTCCAGAGTTAGTTTAAATAGCTTGTATTTAGCGATAATCAAATGTCAAAGTATGATTTAATCTCAGTAATGCAGTAATTCAGTGTTAACCAAATTCCTGAATTTTGTCCAGCAAAAAAATCCTGTAAGAGGGGATAACTTTTGCACAATTATTGCAAATTTGGCAAAATCAATTAGAAATGAACTTTAAACTAAGTCTTCTGTCTAAACTGTGACTGCCAGACAGTTGTATATCTGTTTTTTTTTCTATTTGCTGTGCAGACATTTGTACAAGCCCCTGGTGAAGAGAGGATATTCCAAACAGCTGGCATCAGTCTTGGTATTTGCCATGTCTGCTTTTTTTCATGAGGTAAATATTAGAATTGAGTTAAAAGTGATTTTTAAAATGTTTTTCTGAAGAGTAATGTATTTTCAATTCCAATATCACTTCATCAGTACTTGTGATCTAATATAATTAATGATAAATGAAAATGTTTTGAAATTTTTAAACCTTATGTTGTATTTGTCAATTGAAAAAAAGACATGAATTATTGTATTATGTTAATACTATGTTGATATCTTCCCAACAGTACCTTGTAAGTGTGCCCCTCAGAATGTTCAGGGTCTGGGCTTTTCTTGCCATGTTGGGACAGGTAAGTCAGAAATCATTACTATACATATGTAAAAAAAATCTCTATTTAATTAAATAGTGAACTTCTACAACATCATACAGAAAATGGTGAAACTTTATAAAATTTTGATTTGGTTATGATGATTGAATATTAAAGACATACCAGACAGTATTACTTTACTGTAAAATCATATATTTTTGTGGGACTCAAATTTTGTGGTTTCGAAAATTATGTTTTTGTTGGCACTTAATTTTGTGGATAAACCATGCTAACAAAATCCAATAGTTCTATAATCCATGTCATTGTTTATCTGTTTATCATTTCATGGACATATAAATTTGTTGACGCAGTGTACTTTTAAAATCAACAAAATAAATCCACCATGCAAATTAATTATTTTACAGTAGCAACTTTTATAGTATTTTAGATCTTCTATATAGATATCAATCACTTAGCATTTTATAGAAGATGGGGATTATTAACATGGTATTGTGTTACATGTATGTCAGTATTGTCCCTATAATGTTCCTATCCAATTCAATGTCATTACTCTAGTGACTTTATTTCAGGACAGTAATCAATTGAAATATTGTACAAGTTTCTGTAGTTATCCAGCATCACAGCTAAGCTTTTACTACATAGTTTTAGGTACACAAAATAAAAACTTATATAAAGATTTGATATGAGACTACCTTAAATATGGGGTTATGTTTTCAGATTTGATAATCAATGACTTCAGTAATATATACTGGATGACACTAGTTTTAGTGATATAGGAGACATTTAATTTTTTTGCCAATTTCTAGGTCATTGTTTATTTTCCAGGTTCCTTTGGCGCAGTTTGTACAGAAATACATCCATGGAAAATATGCCAACATGGTGGTGTGGCTCTCCCTCATCCTCGGTCAACCTATTGCCATCTTCTGCTATGTCCATGATTATTATATGATCAACTTTGCCCCGTTGGCAAACCAGACAAACACAATGTAACTTTGTCATCCATTTTTATAAAGATGTTTTGATGTCAAAATACAAAGCAAATGATTTAATTATCTGTGTGTAAGTTGAAGCTGACTGTGTGTGATCTAATTACTGCTATACTTGTTAAGTGTGTGAGATAATTGTTACATAACTTTACATGTATGTTTAATGTATAAGATAACTGCTGATCTCATACTACAGTGTTTAGAGTTATCAGCATGGCATAGACATTGAAAACATCAAGTCACATGTAGATATTGAGTGGAACTCACTGATAGTTTGTAAGAACATTTTTGTGTGATTTTCTTGCCAAGAATGAACTAGTTCCTATTCTGTTGTATATAGTTGGATGATCACATTGAAACCCCCGCCCCCGCCCCCCCTCCCCCCCCCAAAAAAAAAAATTACAAAACTAAAACTAAAAATTATCTAATGCAGTCAATCTTGAATTAAGACTTGCTTAAAACAGCATGTACTTCCTGTAAACTGTGATCTTGGTTTAGGACTGACAACTTTGAATAGTTAACACCTGTACAGACAGGACACTGTTAACATATGTTGATTTTCATAGTTGGAGATCGTTAATTTCTACTATTGTATGCTTTTAACACAAAATTCATCAAAATGCAGTACGAAATACATGACAGAAATGTCACGTCTTTGATGGAAATTCTTCAGCTTAAAATAAATACAGCTTTAAGCTTAAAACAATATGGAATGTTTCCCTGTGGCTGACTTCACTGGTAAACCATTAGACCAAAGAACATTCTACTAGTCATCCTAAAATCATGTCATGAACTTAGAGGATAGATATGTGTATCATTTCAGATTGATGATTTCAAAAATCATTACTGAAAATTTACAGGAGTGAACATTGTCCCTCTGTACCTTGTAATAACTGCTTAGTGTATAAGTACTCTGTAATGTTGCACAAAACAATGCAAAAGACCAAATATCACAAAAGAGAAGGAAAATAAAGATAAATGGAAAAATATCATAAAGAGAAGGTAGTAAAAATTTTATTCAAATGTAAAAACATTGCAAAAAAGTTGAGTTTCATTGAAGTCAGGAAATGTAGGATTTATGAAATAGAAACCATCTTTTGGTAACAAAATTTATCTAAAGGAATTTTTAAACTATTGATCAGCAATTTGGCCTTAAACATAATAAGTTATCTCCTCCCAAAATGTCTTGCGATCACAATCAAGGACAGGAGGAAGTGATACGATAATCAAGTGCTCAGGTATATCAACAGATGACTTAAGTCTCTACTTTCATTGTTTAATTATTTTTGTATGTATTTTAAAAATGCATGCTGTATGTAATATTATAGACTATATAAAATTATTTGTTGTAATTTACAATTTACAATGTAATTCAGTTTTCAGATTTTTTCTATCTACATGTGTGTAATTTTGTTCTATGTTTTTGCTGGTGTTTGTACCAGAAATCCTGGGACGTACTGCTGTAAACTGTGCTATTACCTGTTAGAGGGTGGTCAACACGTTAGTGTGCCACTTCCCAAATATCAAGTTTGCCACTTCCCAAATATCAATCAATGGACTGCAAAAGTTGGTTGAATACACATTGTATAGTTAACATTTTGTTTTGTAGAGTTTAAATATTTAAAAAAGAAAATGTAGATAAAAAGAGTAAGCAGAGTCAATACCATATTGTTGTACATGTAGTTTGTGTTATATCAGAAGAACAGTACCATATTGTTGTACATGTAGTTTGTGTTATATCAGAAGAACAGTACCATATTGTTGTACATGTAGTTTGTGTTATATCATAAGAACAGTACCATATTGTTGTACATGTAGTTTGTGTTATATCATAAGACCAGTACCATATTGTTGTACATGTAGTTTGTGTTATATCAGAAGAACAGTACCATATTGTTGTACATGTAGTTTGTGTTATATCATAAGAAGTACCATATTGTTGAATTCTTGTACATGTTATACAGTCAGATTGGTACCATATTGTTGAATTCTTGTACATGTTATACAGTCAGATTGGTACCATATTGTTGACTACATGTTGCATTTGGTATGGAGGTTATTGGTTTTCATAAAGGCTGCTACTTTTAGATGAAACTTTTCACAACCTTGCAAAAATTTCAAAATTATACAGGAAAACTTGTGAAAATTCCATTGGCATAATCATATTTAGAGAGTTTATTTAATACTTATGATCATGACAATAACTTGCTTAGTATAGAGTAACTTTGAACAAATGTCATCATTACCTGGTTATCAAACTTGAGTTGATGATTTTTTGTTTCGCTAATAATTATCCTATGATATAATAATTAGACATAGCCATGCCTACTTAGAACTTGACATGTATAAATACTTGATGCTCATTTGTTGATATAAATATCTGTGATATGAATGTCTTACTCATAACATCTACCAGTTCTTATAATTTTGTTTGTCAGTAAACATTTGTAGATAATGAAGATAATTTGAGCGATATCTATTGTAATATAAATGTACTTAAAACCTGACAATATTACTGGTTCAGTTTGGAGTTGACACAGAGCTAGTCTCTATCATAATATATTTCTACATTCCCTTTTACTATTTGCTGTAGGAAGTTGTAATTAGTATGAAGTGTTGTAATATTATCTGCATTATACTTGAGGTTTTATAAAACCCTGGTATTCATTGTATAGATATCAATTCAGCTTCAACTGTACATACCAATGTATACATTATAAGAACAAGCTGAGAAATTGTGGTACAAAGGTGCTATTTTTATAGTTGTAATGCTATTCTACTCAAATTTTGTTTTGAAAAAGTAAAATTATTTTGTCGCTTGATACATAAATGGATTCGCAAATACTGTTTGGTATTTCGTACACAACACGTGGCTAGAGCAGGCTTCTGTTAGCTGTGTGGTGATATGGATCATTTCTTTTCAATAAAGTGATATCTGCTAAACCAGTCTACAGGTGTGGTTATTTTAATGTCAATTGAACTGTTGGTCACTTACAACTGCTAGAGGTACAATTTTGAATGGTGTTTCATCTTTTTATGAAACAAGAGGGCCATGGCCCTTAATGGTCATCTGACAATCATTGGATAGATAGACCACATAATTTAATGATGGTGGTCTAGCTGCTGTAATGAATTCAAATTTTGAACATCCCTAAAAAGGATCCAGAAACTCGTAAATGGTAGGTTTCGTTGGTGAAAAATCGTTGTGAAATCATGTTGCATATCTTATGGTGTGAATGAAAGTAGAGAAGTAGTTAAGACTATTTGTTCAATATGTGGAATGTCGGATTTTGGACCAAAAAAAAAAAAAAAATGATCAGGACAATCTCGGGATCACTTCATGCACGTTTAATATCACACTATCACTACCTAATAATGTTTGACCAAATTTTGTTGAAACCCAGTAATTAAGGAGTAGCATTTCAAAGCAAATTATTGCCTAACTTTCCCATTTGGGGCCCCATCCCTGGGTCTTTAGGGATAGAATCAACCTTCTGAATTCAAGAATGAATTGCCCACCTCTAATGATGTTTCAGACCAAATTGAAATGAAATCCATTCAAGCATTAAAAGAGACTAGTGACGGGTCACTAAGGGTGGAATCAACTTCCTGAATGTAAGAAATGATAACCCACCTGTAATGTTTCAGGTCAAATTTGCTTAAAGTCTACCCAGGCATAAGAGGGCACAATTACTGACAACACACGAAAGCAATAGGTCATCTCGAGTCTGTGGGTCAGATGACCTAACAATATAAATGATCGGTTATGTAATAGTAATCCAAAAATATCCATAACAAGCTCTAATGTTCAAGGTCAGGAATCAATTAGCATCTTAGTTTATAGGTTTTGACAAAAAACCAATTGCATACAAACCAAATGTTTTCAACCCTAATTCAATAGGAGGAAGTGGAGTTACATCATTTTACAGTACAACTGTAGTTTCACATCAGCCTGCACATCTGTAGCATAAAGTTTTTGTAAAAAGATATTTTCTGGACAGGTTTATGACATATTCATACCCTAGTAAATCAAAGTTATACACCTGATTATATTTTCACGGTCATTGTCTAAGTTTAAATGTCACACTTGACCACTTTCAAAAATTGAATCTCATGTACAAGATATCTAATAAATCCTTTGACATATTTACTTTATATTCATACAACTGTTCAACACCTGATTAGATATTGGTGGTCATCGGTCAATGTTAAAAAGGTAAACTTTCAAGACCTGGCTAGGATTATACGTCAGTTCAAACTTTGGTTCAAGATTATCATTTCACCAAGATTATTAACTAGAGTTTAACCAAACTTGTTGTCCAGGTCAGTAGGAGACCAGTGTGCCATAAAAAGAGAGAACACTATGGGGATGTTTGAATATTTCAGTGACTTTACCTTTACTTAAATTTCATCTTTTAAAATTCATCCTTTTAAAGTCAATGAGTAAGAAATAATAATGAACAAAATTTTGCTTCAATGAATATTGTACACCATCCACATATCACTAATGTTTATTATTAGCATGTTGTCTCCACGATGTAAATGATATATACACCGTTACACACCACAAAACCAGGAAAAAGTGGAAATCAGAAAAAGTCAGAAACAAAATGATACAAGAATACAAAAATTCATATTTATTTTGTAATATCAAAATATTGCAACAAATGGAGATCCAATTGATTCATTTATAAAGTACAAAATGTCCACTAGTTCATATGAATCACCATCACTTTTACAGCACTACAAAGTTCACAACAGTAAATCATTTGGTCCACAAAATACAACAGCAGTGTGTAATGATATTCTAGTACATAACGGAGGCCTGGGACCATAGTGTTTTAAATAGTATATTGTAGTACGTAACTACGGTCCCTAGTGTGGATTCAACAGTATATTCTAACATGTAACAGAGACCTAGGTCCTTAGTTTGTAGTAAACAATATATTCTAGCATGTAAGAGACCTGGGTCCCTAGTGTGTATTAAACATTACATTCTAGTATGGGACAGGACAATACATTCTAGTATGTAACAGAAATCTGGGTCACTTGTGTGTAAGAAGGAATATAGAATGTATAGCTGTATTGCAGAGTAGCTTAGGGGAATCTGTTTCAAGCATTTGTATCGGTCATCAGAGTATTCAACAGAATAACATTAATTTCAGGAAATGACAATGCAAACTAGGTTTCCTTAGTAGAAAAGAGATTTGTGTGTGCTAATATAAATAGTAAAGTATGTCTGTCCCTGAAAACCCATCACTGTGCTAGGACACTCATCACAATATGTTACAGTGACACCTATATACAATAATGTATTATGTTAAATGTCCCTGCTGCCTTTCACTGTCACTTTTCAGTGTTCTGATGATAAAACAACTGTCATCACAAAATCACAATATCATCGTCTACATCTTGATCATCAGAAACTTTGACTTTTTTGGGAGTGCCTGTGTCGGTCAGTTCATCTTCGGCCTTTCTCTTTCTACTGACCACTTGCTTGTTAACTATTTGTTCATCCTCGGGTTCATCCACTACCATCAGGTCCTCGTCATCACTTACATCTGTAGGTTAACATCAAAATATTTCAAATTATGTCAAAGGGAAAACGGTTTACTCACATAAATTAACAAACAATATTTATACATAACCTTGTCCACTGAAATACCGCAGTAAATAGTGGAGGTAAAACCTGTGAAATAACTTAATAAATCAATATATAATAATCGATCAGTTCTACCTTCATCAGAAAGTTATCTAAATTATACCGGAAAACTATGAGAATCGTGTGCTAATATTTTACCTCCAGTTTGCCTCTATAATACAGTAATATTCCACAAATTCTTATTAAGATAAAGTTAAGAGTATCCCAACAAATACCACCGGGTGGGAAAATACACACATGTCCCATGCCAAAGAAATATTCAATATTTGTTATATCAAAAAGAATACAAGTATGACAATACTAAAAGATATAAATGATGGAGCATCAACATCTGAATTCAGCAGTTTTATTGCTGGTTTACCTGTTTCAACTAGCTAGGCTAGCCATCATCAGAACCACAGTAGAGAGCAAAGGTTAAAACTACGGCTTTGCCGTAATGCCACAACAATTGTCTGTTTGACAGATACTTCATCGCTTTTATCATTTTTATTTTCACCTGATGTGATGGGGCTCTATTGAATAGTTAGGTATCCATCTGTGATTTTAATCTATGACCGATGACAACCAGGACCTTGGTTCTCTTCCACTCCATTAGGAGTTCCAATTTCATTAAATATGGAAATGGTAATACATGTAATGTAGTAGGTTGAAAAGACAAAAACAGCAGGATATGTTTTAATGATAAATTAAAGCATAGCAACTTATAAAAGAAATTGCTGGAAAACTGAAGAAAATATTTGGATAAGGAATAAAATTCTGGAAAGACCAATAAGTAGCAACATTTTAAAATATTGCTGAATGAAAAAGTCTTGAGAACACAATTAGATATTGTGGTTTTCAATCTTACCAATCTCTAGAAACTAGTTGAACAAAGGGCAATAACATTTCAAAAATTGTAAAATTACATTGCTAGTAAGAAAATCATTTCATGTATTGGTTTTCAAATCCTACCAAAATTAAGATCAATTTGTGAAAAAGTGAAATCCTAAAAAAGCAGAGGGCAATAAATCCTTTAAAAATAGTTGAAACAAAATGCTGTGTAGGAAAATAACACTACATGTTATTGTGATTTAAGCCTTTCAAGTTTGAAAGAAATCAATTAGAAACTAAGAGGGATGATCTTCCAACACAATTAACATTACGAAAACAACAAGGAAGAGTAACTCTTTCAAATAAAGTCAAATCCAATGGCTTCTCAGGAAACACAACTTCATGTCAAGGTGATTAAGCTTATAAAAAGTTTTAAAGAAATAAGAGGAGATCTCCACACAAAATTCACATTATGAAAACAATGAAGGGGAGTAACTCTTCCAAATACAGTCTAATCAAACTGCTTTTCAGGAGGTCATGGTAATGAATTCTCCCAAACTTCAAAAAGATGGTTTGAAAACTGTAGGAGATCTCCAGACAAATAAAAGTTAATGACCAACTGACAGACTGACGGACGCAAGGACGATGCCATACCATTATCCATCATTTCAAAACTTCTGTACAAAAAGGCAACAATACATTTATTTGTCCCAACAGGATAATGTGAACACTTTACCATTGGTCTTTGACTGGCTTTCCTCTTTGTTCTCGCTTTTCTCCTCTTTCGCTTCCTCCTCTTTGGCCTGTAGTTCAGACATATCTCCCACAACTTCAAACTCTTTGTCTTCCTCTAATTTCTCCCTACATCAAAATGTTTTCACATGAAATTATGTCTAACTTCTTAAAACAAAAGATCAAAAGACATTGCTGTTTTACTTGAAACAATAGATTAAAATTTCTCTAAGTCTACATCACATACATATTCTCTTCACTATTGACAACAATAACACATGACAGGTCTCTACTTTGGTGGAGTTTTCACTGTTTATTACTGTATCTTCTCAGTTAGTCTAATCTAGTAAGTACCCCACAAAAAGAGTTACATCAACAGCTATTACCAGGAAAACTACCTCAGAAATACTTCCACTTTTATGCTAGGATAATCGATTGTTCATGTCCCTAAACCCGGTATCTACCTGTGGGCTACGTTGAGAACGAGGCTGTAGTTCTGTAAGAAGTCATCACACTTTAACCGGCAGCCATTGTTTATCCCAAACTCACTCAAAATCTTGTCAGCATTTTCTGTGGAGAAGTGTACAAAGTGTCTATGTCAAATAGTTTGTAGTACTTTCAGCAAAAATCAACCAGAATTTTTGTCAATGGTATCTCAAACGAATTATACAATTCCAGAATTTTAAGGTATTACACTAATTAATTGATGTTACAGAATGATTTTTCACTTTTTCAATATTTGATTTAACTGAAAACATTTTCCATATTAACTTTGCCCTTAAAATGGTTAATTGAGACTGGTATCAAAAATATAACCTTGTCACATTATACACTACTTTCTGATAATCTCCAATGAGTGATTACAGACTAACCTTCCGTTTCTCCCTCTTCACTCGATATCAGAATTGTTCCTAACAAAAGAACAAAAACAAATAAACATGAAGGAATCAATTTTTACATCAATTTGTACCTTATATTGATTAAAAAGTATATATTAATGTTGAACATCTTGAGAATCAATTGTAAATTAATTCTTATATCATGGACACAGGACAGAGAGACACTCACCTTTACCATCATCAATCTCCACATCTGGAGCTACCATACCTAAGGCCACCTTTAATATCTGAAACAAAACAACACCTGTAATCAGATCTATCACAACAATAAATGGCTGCCAAACAACAGCAAAAATGTCTCCTAACCAATTATTTAAACAGTATTTATGGTGCACATAAATTTCTAGTATTGACATCAGGTAAAACCAATGGTGAAAACGTTTATCTTCTGAAGTCAAGACATTATATTACAATTTAGTTGTGTAGAACATTTCAGTTGGAGAGTGTTACCTGTGGTCTATAAATGTGATTTCTCTATAGTTAAATACCTGTTTACCTTAAATTGCTGCACTATGTTGTCTATAACAATTTACCTTATCCTCTAGAGTCCTCACAGTGACTTTGTCTGTATTGCACACCACTGTGGCCTCAGGTTTGGCCACACATACATAACACTTGGGATTGGGCTTGTCTAGAGTACATGGTACAAGTAACTTCTTCCTGGGGTTAGGCTGTCTGTTCAGGTAAACCTGAAAGGAAAATAAATTGAAACAGTGAAATGCTAAGTTAAACAATTACTTGAAAATGTTTGTATTTTCATAAACTTTGTGCTGTTCTTCATCTCCCCATACACAACTTTACATTTATCTGTATCATTTCACACTCACAACAGTTTTATACTTCTCTGTGTATTTACCGATATTTTGCTTTACATTTCTCTATATCCCCCATATTCACATTTTAACATTTCTCTCTATCTCCCCATACATGGTTTTATATCTCTATACATCCTCCTATACTCACAGTTTTACATTTCTCTATATCCCCCATATTCACATTTTTCTCTATCTCCCCATACTTGGTTTTATATCTCTATACATCCTCCTATACTCACTGTTTTACATTTCTCTACATCCACTTATACTCACTGTTTTACATTTCTCTATATCCCCCTTGAGAATCTTGAGTCCCTCCATCACAATTAAGCCGGCTATTATAGCATTTGTTGTGGCAATTGCAGGAATGATGTTGCCAGCCATAGCTATAGAAAACATCAAAAATAATTTTTTTTTTTTATAAAACCCTGTAATTTCTTACATTAATAAATAGAATATATGGTTAATTCTTAAAAAAAGCTGTATTTTTGTGAGGGTGAAGAAAGACAAAAGTGGCAAGATCCTGGCTAACCACTTTTGTCTTTCTGTCCCAAGCAAAAATACAGCTGGAAATATAGTTCCACACATCAATGGATATAAAACAATTTCATAAATCTTCTAAATAATTTGTTTGATACAAGAAATAAAATTGCTTATTTAAACAGGTTTTTCTATTTCTAAAAGAAATATCTAAGCAAATCAGGAAGTAATTCTATCAAAGTAATGCACATGCTAAAATACAGCTGTTTTCTGTCACTGCCGAATACAGCAAAAATATATGTGGCAGGTATATTCCAACAATTGCAGCACAGTTACAGGATAAATTACAATATCAAGACCTAAATCAAGCAATTATCAGATGTTTAAAGAGAACAGTACTTTCTACTAAGTTTACAATTCTAACAAATATGTTATTCGATGGAAACCATAACAAACATTGTACTAAAATGATGATAACAATTTTTTTTTTTTTCATTTACAAGTCATAGCTGAATTCAAACAACTCATTGAATTATTAACTTAGCATCTTTAGATCAAACATCCTTATTCAGACAAATTTATAGTAATAAGAGAACCTTTCTTATAAAGTATACTGATGACCTTTTAATTCCTTAAATAAATGGCTATACTCACATTTTATATCAAATCTCGTCTTCTGAGCAATACTGAATATGTAGGCCCTGATGTTGGCTGTACAGGTGACAAAGTCCATAGCTAGCATGTCATCCTAAATAAAGACAATAAGAAATAAGCAGTTACCAGTCTGAACCTAATTACACTAGTTTTAAAAACATAGAAATCACTTGATGTTCTAAATATTTGACAAGATTGAGTCTTGCTTATTTAACAAACCCAACCTTAACCAATTAAAGGCCTGTAAAAATTACTAAAAAGAAAGCCCCTTTCCCCTAATTAGTTTGTACTACGATAAGTCACAGATAAACAAGCCATTTCTCTAAGTTTGACACTTTCATAATTATTTAACTTATTCTTGACATATAGATGCCTACCGGAAGCTGTTTTGCACTATAGCAAACATGGATACAATCCTAACCCTGTTACATCCTATAATTATACCATGTTGCTTGGTCTTTCTGACTCTATAGATTTAGCAAATCATGATCAGATGGGAGCCTGCTCAAAATGTACTATGTCTAAAAATGTCATTCTTTTTGCTTTTACTTAAACAATTCCTTTTACTTTCATTTCTTGAGAGGTGCCTGATGGATTTTTTTTTTCAAATTTAATATGTAGATTCCTTTTTCCTAGTAGTGCCATCTCAATTTTGATAACGATCAGAAAAAACAAAAAGGCTGGAAGACAGGTCATTGCTATAAGCAAAATTGAATCCTGCTCACCTATGCTTCTGTCTAAATTTTGTCAAAATCTCATTATTTCTACTAAAGAAAGATTTTATAAGATTTACATCTATCGGTCTAGTGGGCCCCACCCCTTTGCCTTAAGAAGAGGGTGTGTCAGCTCCTTTATTTATACAAAATTTAATCTTATCTACAGATCAAACTTGGACAAAATTCTGTCATTCCTACAAACAGAAGAAGAATGATGAAGACTTTGCTCAATACTCCCTATTGCATGTCTCTCCTCAGGCCCCTGAAGCCCCATGATACCTCCTACACAGAACTTGTTCCCTTTCTACCAAAAATGCTTCTGACTAAAGCTGGTAAAAATCTGGTCTGTTGTTTATGACATAAAACTATTTATAGGGAAACAATGTTGAACAGATAATGGACATTGTGCAATGCAATATGCTCACTTAAAAATTGTTTTCAGATGGCCATCTGGGATTTTGATGATGAAATATTGCAGAAGTGTTATAGAGAGATCAGTTTCAAATTTCATATGAAGATTTCCTTGGGTCATTTATTTTACATTATTTAATATTGGATTAATCAGGAAAGCAAATTGGCCAACAGGTGACCATCTTGGATAATAACAACTAAAGTCTTTTCTCCTTTTTTCTCGAGAATTATTGGATGGACTCTTTCTAAATTTAATATAATTAAGATTGATATGAGGAAAGATGAGAAAATGGGAACAGATCAAACTTATAAGGATCCCTTGGGATCACTTGTTACCTTATCCCAGACAAGCATGCCCCCTTCGCCTTGTTTGGCCAAATCTTCCTTCAGACCATTGAGACAGTTTGAGAAGACAGAGCAGCATTCCTTTATAGTCCACAGCCTCTGGTCCCGTATACCCGCCTCTCCTGTACCCGAGTCTATTAAACAGATACTAACACTGTGTATACAAGTAAAACATGAATATCACAGCATCTGGCCCCAGATACCCCACCCCAACCCTGTCTTGTACCCAAGTCTGTCAAAATGAGATACCCAAGTGAAAAAAAAAAATATCACCCATTTAAAGTCCTGGATAATTTCTTCTCCTTCCCTACATCTGAACCCTCATTCTAGTCAGGATCTGTGGTTTATGTACTCATAATTACTTATATAGGATACATGTTTCAGCCTCCATGTCTTTGATATTGTCAATCCTTTGTCTGTAAGTTCTCTTCAATAATCAGAATTTTTTATGATCAATATTCTATAATATAGCTATCCTGTAATCTCTTGACTGCCATCGAGATCCTGTAATCTCTTGACTGCCATTGATATATTTTAATCTTTCAACTAAATTTACCAATTAAACAACATATGCAATAGGATTTTGTTCCCTAGTTGAGGATACTTGAAAAGAATTTTGTCACAAAATATTGGGATCTTCAGTTTTCATGACAGAAATAATTTGTAGTCAACATACCTGTGTCAGGTAAATTTTCCCAGTCCAGAGGAATTGGGGCTTTCCGCTTTTTCCACAGTGTCTCCATTGATAATAAATATTTAACATCATCTCGAAATAGCTAGAACAAACAAAAATGCAACAGATGTAATATGAGTAAGTGATTCATGGGATCTAAAAAGAATCCAGAGAGCAAGATAACCTGGACCTTAACACAGAGAATAAAATACTACGGTCTAATATTACTGGGCACACATTCAATTCAAGTTGGATGTAATTGGTGGGATGATAAATCTCAAACCTTGTTGAAAAGCTTTTGTGGATCATAGCCTGATTCCATGGCCCAGGTACGTGTAGATTTTCTCTCCACAGCTCCAACAGCGTCAGAATTGGATTTCTCTTGTAAAGCACTTTCTCCAGCATCACCTGAATTTAAAAATTACCAACAATTAAATTATCAAAAGGATTCAAAGACAAGGCATCTGTGATACAGGTGAATAATGATCAACTCAGGTCTGGTTCAGTTGGTAATTGAAATGTGCAATGACTGTATGACAAGTAGATCTTGGAGTTGATCATACATAGATATGTCATCAAACAAACCTCTGCTTTACGACTAGCTTTTAGACTTATGATAGAAAATTTGGAAACAAGGACCCTGCTATGAAAGTTCATGGGTTTCATAAACACACCTGCCAACTCTGGGTCCTCTGTGTCAGGGGAGACATCCTGATCGGGGTCCTCCTCGCCAAACAGCTGACTGCCAATTACAAAACTTGTTAGGATAACAATTGTTCATTTATAAGAATTCTGGTGCAACTGAGAAGCAATAGGCTATTATGCATAATTCTGCTATTTAACATATGTGTAATGTTAATTTAGTGGAATTTAAATTGATCAAATAAATATTCAACCCATTAGATAGAGTTTGACCCTATTATGGAACAGGAAAGTGAAGCACCAGCTTTGTGCTTGGAAACAAGTGAATAGAACCCAAATAAAGAGCCTTACTTGAATAAATGTTTCGCCCAAACAATACAGTGAATCGGTTCGGAGGGAGTGTTACGGATAGTGCACCCTGGGAATGTTTTTTGTCTGGGTTTGGGCTGGCATTCATAACACTCTGTCAGACTCTGGAATTGGAGACAAAATATGATTTTATAAAAATATTTAATTAATACTATTAATAACTTAAAATGTTACATAAACTTACATATAGTTAACACTTACAGACAAATATACGTAGTGAGAAGGATGAAACCTTACTAGGATTTGTATGTGGGCCACATCACTATTAATTACAGAGGTATTCCCAGTACCTTGGAGACAACACCCTTTAATTAAACCAAAGAAAGGATTTGCAGGTTTCAAAATTGATTTACAAAAAATTCAGTTAAGAAAACACTTGAATACAACATAATTCAATTTTCGTTTCCTCTTGCCCCTCGAGAACCTACATCTTTCCCTGCTAAATATCAAACCATCCATTTGCACAACACTTTGTTCCTTTCACCTAATAAGGGTATACCCCAAATATGGTAAAAAGTCCTGGACTTTACAGAAGAGAGAAGGATTTCTTTCCTTCCACTCGTTAATGCTCTTGAACAAAAGCTCAAAGATCCTTTAATCAAAGACAAGTAAAGGTGTTTTGAATATTTACTATAACATCTAATTCCTATGTACAGTCCCAGTCCTATCGCAAATGCAAGTAAAAATTGTTTGTTTGAATGTCAAACTTTCATGTTTTCTGTATCTACTGACCTTTTTGATGACAGTGACCTGACCCAAATAGCCTGCTGTTCCACTCTCCACTAGGGGGATGTCGGCTGCCAGACACATGCGGTTTACATGGTTACGGGCAGCTGCAAAAGAAACACATAATCATTTAAATGGCAAACTAACAAGCAATATAATCAGAAAGCATTATACCATAGCAAATAAAGTTCATTTTACAATACGTACAAGGTACGTAGGTTCTATTTCTGGACTAGTAAGTCCTATTATATGGTAAGAAGGTCCCATTACAGGACTCATAAGTCCTATTACTGGGCCAGAAGTCCCTATTACAGGGTAAGAATGTCCAATCACTGGACTAGAAGGTCCTATTTCAGAGTGAAGGTCCCATTGCTGGACTAGAAGGTCCTATTACCGGGTAGGAAGGTCCCATCACTGGACTAGTAGGTCCTATGACAGGGTAAGAATATCCCATTACTAGTTTCACCTTCAAATTGCTAGATGTATGTAATTCACAAAAGTTTGAATATAGATAACAAAATATGATGAACAATTTATAACTTGAAAAGGGAGACTTTTAAACGAACAATGTGAGGTTATACAATGCACATTAATGTACTGTCCCATATCAGTGATGTTTTATACAGATTAATCAGGTTGTCCAGCACTTCTTGACAAAAAATTAGGGCTAATTTTAGGGCTAAAATCACAAAAATTTAGGGCAAATTTAGGAATTTTGTAACTAGAATAAGGAGTATGAAAGCATTAAACTGACTTACCTTTGCAAATTTGACAAAATAGAAACTAACATACAATGCCTTAATTGCAGGAAAGGTGTCTTCCAGGGTTTCAGTGTCCCAGCTGTGGTTGGCTGTGACCTTAAGAATCACACCTCTGTCACAACCAATAACAATCTGGGTACATAGATCCACTGGTCAACTGCCTTTCATTGTATACCCTGAATTAGAACTACAGACTACATTAAAACACATTTTAAGTATGAATTTAATGAAAACATTTTCAGTAAATTGTAAGAAATATAAAAAAAAAGTAGGAACTGAAGTGAAAAATTAGGGCTTTTTTAGTAATTCCCTTTGAATTTTTCATTTTTTTAGGAATTTTAGCAAAACTGAAAAAAAAGTAGGATTTTTTAGGAATTTAAGGGGGGCTGGACAGCCTGATTAATCAATCCAGTCACCAAAAAATCAATCTAGTCTTCAAAACAACTGACTTGGCCACCAAACAATTCAATCTCCACAACAATTCTCAAAACAATTGATTCAGCCTTCAGAACAAATGTTTCAGTCCCCAGAGTTTGTTACGTAACTGTACAATAAACTTACCTCTGTTATCTAAAGCATTCATGACTATGTCAAACTTTCTGAAGAAGTTGGTTCCATATTCGGTGCTGTAAAAGATGAAATGCATAAAACCTGTTACACAAGATCTATTTCTTTTTACAATGCTATTATCATTAGTCAAGTTAAACAGTATGTATAATAGTGCTATACAGAATCTGACCAACTGCAGTGTCTGAACCAAACGAGTGTCAACAGATTGTCAAGGACTTTGTTGTAATGCCAGACAAATTTCTGGGGCCAATTTGACTGATGACCGTACAATGACTTTAACTTTTGTGTTGGTTAACTTCTTGTCCAATAAAAACCAACTTAACCTCATAATCTCGTAACACATTATCTACTTATGCTTTTGAGACAATACAGAGGGATATCAGAAGAACAGACTTAGGATATTAGGTGAGTTATCTCCCTTATTTCTGCCTTTGTATTTACTGGTCTGTCCGGGGCAATACACCCAGGTGTGCTCTTCTTGTATTACACATCTACCTGTGCAATACAACATGTGACATGTCCCTTACAAACTAATGTCATTACCTGATACAATGTATACACACATGTATACAAATAGTTAATTACAGCGACTGCTGAAATTTTGTTTAAATTATCTATGGAAATCTTGGTCCAAGGACAGGATATTTCACCCTCGAGGTCACAAAATGTGGTAAAACTCTTGGCAGAGCTGAAAGTTTTACGATATTTTGCGACCTCCTACACCCCAATATATGAAAGAGTCTTATCGTATTTACTAGTGACTTGATGATACATACCTGGTAATACTGTCATGGTAAGACACAATGTTGGTGTCAGGATTGAAGGCTAAAGCACTATTCTTGGCCACCTTTGGAAACAACAAAATCATGAATGCAATTCATATATTTCTTATATATAACTTCAATTTCTCAAATTTCTGTTTAAACTTTATATACTTTAAATACTTTTTTTTTTTTTTTTTAAAGTGATATATGTACTGTGTACTGAAAATGTGATAGTATTCATGGCTACTGGATGATCATTGCTGAGCCAAAACCTAGCACTGAGACAGCTTGACAGCAGATAAAAATATCATACCTTAAAGTGATCTGTAGAAGTTTATTAAATCATAAGTAACAAAGCCAATATGCTGACAGAGGCGATGCTTTGAGATAAACATGTAATGTAGTACATATTACATATTCAGTAGGTAAATATGTTCTAAGTCAAATATTGAACATCCTAAAGAGTGTGTATGAACTTAACAGCAAAAGCAGTCTGTTATTTATCAATTTTCTACTGACAATTCATGTATTCATAATTGAGCTCTATATACATTTAAAATATATTATGTATGTTTAAATTAAACTTCAACCAGCTATTTCTAAAAATCAACCTTCTCTCTGAAATCTAAGCAAGAAAAATGAAAACTAATATATGTCAGTTTATATTGACCGTTGGATTCTATGTTATACTTTGATAACCTCATCAGTAAGCTCACAACTGACCTACCTGGGACTTTGATTTACCAACATGCTCTTTCCTAAACAAGAATTGTCTGTTGAGATTACTGACGTCAATAGTGTCCAGATCAATCTGAAAACCAAAACATAATACTGATTACAGATAAACACCTACACCTTGAAATGGTCCAGTTCAATTCATTAATATGAACACCAAATGGAATTCTCAAATGGCAAGAAAGCAAAAGTTTTGGTAGTTTCCTTCCTTTCCATGCACATGTTTTTTTTCGGTGGTAAAAAAAAAAAATAAAAATGGTCAAAGTGTTCCTGTGAAGAAACAGGGAGTATACCTTAAACAACGATGACAAATATAGTCTTGATACTGTATACAGATGAATCTTGTCAACTTACTGACTACTAATCTGAAGGTGGGGTTTACAGCTTTGAAGTGCGTTACTTAGTATGACAATGAGTTAAATATCAAGAAGCAGAAAAATGGCCATTCATGATATAACAGGGAACATGTATACAATATATAGATAGAAAATTGAAAATTGACTAATTTCTTATCAAGATCCATAACTGAGAGAGTGATAAAATAAAGACTATTCATATTTTGGTTAGTCTGATCAGACTATATCTGATGTGGTAGTACTTTAGATAGATATATATCCTTACAGAATTTTGATAATTATACAAAATTTGGACAGAGCTGTAGTAAAAGAGTTTTAATAATCATAATTAAGTATTCTGAAAGTTCAAGTCAAGAGAAACCTACTTAGATTATGAAACATTCTTTTGTTGGTCTTGTAGTGTTTATCAAACAGTTTATCAGGGTATGAGTCACTGAACAAGTGGCCTAGTGTTGATTTATGAAAATTCATAAAATCACTGATATATCTGATGAAGTTTGGAACTATATTTACGTGCAGAGCAATTACTTTGGCATCCGTCATCAGGCAAAATTCAGCATAATGTTAATGTCAGGTAAACACAGATAGAACAATAAAACTGTTTAAGTTTCAAAGGTCTGATTTTCAATCAATGTTGTAGTAATCGGTAATGCATAATAATGATTCCATTATGGAGTAGAAACACAAAAACGGCTTGCTATTTTTGTCTTTCTTCACATCGCTAAAATACAGCTTATATTTTGAGACACTGACAATGCATTCTTTATTTTTGTTGTAAACAGCAGTGATAGAAAATATCTGTATTTTAGCACATGTGTTAATTCCATAGAATTACTTTCTAAATTTACTTTAAAACGATGTTAAAAATGACTGTTGAAATAAGCAATTTGATGTTTTAATGAACAAATTTATTTCCAAAATTTCATTAAATTTGCTGTCATATCTGTTGACATTTGGAACTATATCTCTGTACAGGGCAATTATTTTGGCAAACTCCAACAGGTAAAACTCAGCATTATGTCAATGTCAGGTAATATGAACAAAGATTGAACAACAAAACTGTTCGGAGTTTTTTGTGGTCTGATTTTCAATCAACGGTGAAGGATCAAATCAAGAACACATGGTCAGTGTCTTAAAATATAAGCTGCATTTTGTCTCACAACAGAAAGACAAAAGTGGCTCGCAAGAAGCTCACAACTTTTGTCCTCTCCAACATACAGTTTATATTTTAAGAAACTGCCCATGTATTCTCTATATACAAGCCACACATACACGCTCTTTTCCATAAGGTTTCAATGGGTTCTCCATAATGAAATCATTATCATACATTACCGTTCAGTTTACTATCAAGTTTGAGTTTTGTAGTGATATCATCATTTAATTTGCTGCATTCAGAGGGAGGATTCTCTGTAATGAGACAGCACGTAGGAGTTGGTGAGCATCCTTCAAAATCAAAAAATGCTCACGACTTGTGGTCTTTCCCTTGGAGGAAAGGTGTGGTATCCCATTAAGTGTAATTTTTACTATTTCCCTAACCGCAACGGTTGTATTAACTTAAGCTGGTCTATAGAGCATTGCTGCTATCACAAACCGATAGGTAACCTTATTTGGTTGATAACCATTTCATGCATGACTGTCAACGAAGATTTGCCGTGCCAATGCACGGCTACTTCTTTACCAGTTCAATGTTTTTGAATCCTGTGAGGACAAGGTTTTTCAGAAGTTCGCAACCAATACCACCGGCTCCAACAACCAATAGCTTGCATTCGTTAACTCGCTGTTGAAGTTCCGGAGACAAAACGTGTGGCATAGCTGCCGCCATTTTATCAGTTTTTTGAAAATGGATCTTGGTCTCATAAACGCTCAACTAACGAGTAATATAGGATCTTTTTGGGCGATGTTTTCCGGATATTTGTTCACAGTAACGGAAAAACAGTAACAATCGCAACAGTGCACAAAGGCCTTAAACAACGATTATCAACAAAGGAAAAAAATGTCCACATACCGACATGTCAATAGAATCATAATACAAAGGCATATCTTAAAATTTCAACGTGTTTCGTTTCACTGACAGCAACTGCTTCACTTTCCGAATAAAAAATAAGGCAACATTGCATTCTCAAAATAGCAAGATAAACGCACCAAGCTTCATTTAAAAAGAAACGGATTCGGCACTTAACATTAGACCATACTGATGACAATAAAAAAAATGGTATCAACCTGCATCACTCACAAAAATACAAACCTTGGTTACAATATATTGTAATAGCAGAGACGTAATGTGTTATATATGTCTCTGGTAATAGTCATTACCCATCGGACAACTTGAATCTGCATATCCATATAGAAATAACGTTATCGAGAATAATCTGTCATGGTGATTTAATAGCAAAAGTCAAACTCTTCTTGCAAAGTCTTCCGATACCGTTGGGAAATTAGTTTGTTAGACTCTTTTGTGAAAAGATATCTGTTTTTTTTCCAGGGTAAATGATGCTTATTCTTCTCTTCCATTTTTCAGTTTAAGCGACATTACTCCCACTTGGGCACTGATTCACATGAAATAGATTAACATATACAGTCTAACCTGTCATAACGGCCACCTTAGTTAAACGGCCACCTGCTTATAACGGCCGTTTTCAGACCCTCCCAATCGTTTTTGCTCATGAATGATTCCTAATTTAATAGCCACCTGTCTAACGCGGCCAGCGGCCACTCTTTTCGCCCCCAAACTCGCGATCGAACCTCTCTATAAAGGCCACTTCATAATTTCCCAACAGCGGCCGTTTAATACAGGTTAGACTGTACTATTATAATGAAACGTTACGGGGCAACTCTATTAAAGAATAATGTCTCTGTGTAAAAGCAAACGGTCAGATTAAGTATACAACACGAATTCTGCTCTCGTCATTTGATACCATCAAATAATGTTTAAAAACTTTTACAATACAGTTTGTAAAACTTTTCAAGTGAAAAATGCACGATGGAAAACGTAGGACTTCGATTCATGTACAAATAATTTGATTTCTTTTATATTTATCTCAAAAATGATTATTTATTTCCCCAGAGAAACGTTATATTTGCTTGTTGCAAATAATGCCATTGATCAGTGATTTCCGAAAACTTGTGTGATGTTACATTGGCACTACTTGGTAGACATGAATCTTACGGGCTTCTTGGGTATCATATGACTTTAAGAATGCATTATAACAACAACAACAGCCGCAGTAATGTGTACTTGTCTTGGATAAAACTGACGCTGTATGTATTTATAAGATTATAAACACACATACTTTGCCATCTCTCCGACGGTTTAATTATTTATTTTTCCCAACATTGTAGTTAGCTCATAAAATTAGACAATTTAGTTTTAGAGACTGAATATTACATCTCCGTTCAAGTATCTCGATTCTCTTGCCATTCCATAAACAATCTATCTCACACAAGTTCTACCCATGGTCTCCCCCATTTCCCACACTCTCAGAGTTTCTTCAGGACGTGCAAAATGCTGTTTACTATATCTTCTTCCCACTGTATCCCTACTACCTTAAAGCGCTGTGACCCAAATTTTCTCCCATACGTTTTACTTTAAGTTCATTCTGGGTATCACATTAATTCGCCCACAAGCGCCACCTTCTTTTCCACACTTTCTCCCACATGATCCACCCACTGTCTTCCTCCCATACCCTTTGCCAACTATTTTCCTCTCATACCCCTTACCCACTGTCTTCCTCTCATACCCTTTGCCAACTATCTTCCTCTCATACCCCTTACCCACTGTCTTCCTCTCATACACTTTACCCACTATCTTCCTCCCATACCCTTTGCCAACTATCTTCCTCCCATACCCTTTACCCACTATCTTCCTCCTATACTCTTTACCCACTATCTTCCTCCCATACCCTTTACCCACGATCTTCCTCTCATACCCTTTACCCACTATCTTCCTCCCATACCCTTTACCCACTATCTTCCTCCTGTACTCTTTACCCACTATCTTCCCCTCATACCCTTTACCCACCATCTTCTTCCCATGTCCTTTACCCACTATCTTCCTCTCAGACCCTTTACCTACGATCTTCCTCTCAGACCCTTTACCCACGATCTTCCTCTCATACACTTTACCCACCATCTTCCTCTCATACCCTTTACCCACTATGTTCCTCTCATACCCCTTACCCACTATCTTCCTCTCATACCCTTTTCCCACTATCTTCTTCTTGTACCCTTTACCGATGTCTTTCTCAGACATCTTTACCTGCTGCCTCTCTTCCATTAACTTCTCCGATTATCTTTCACTTATATGCTTCCCTTGCTATCTTTCCATTACTGGCTTTACTTACCATCTTTCTTCCCATACCCTTAAACCAACTGTTTCCTGTGGTATACCCACTCTCTCCCACAGTCATCTACCAACCATCATTCCCTCACTCGATCTATCTTGTGTCTGTTAATACACTTTCTCAATGACACTCTTCCAGCTAACTCCCATTGCCATTTTCCCACGTTCTACCAACTTCCTCCCCATCCTTCAAACACTCCTGTTTTGCCACTATATATACCCCCCATTATCAACTATACTCAATGTTTGAGTGGCATAAATAGGTATGGCCCATAGTCAATAGTTTCATGTCTCTTACCTATAGAATCAGTATGCATTTGTAATCAAGAATAAAGTTTGTATCAGGTTTGTTGAATTTTGTTTTCACATCCTTATGAAAGAATACAAAACAAACTTTTTTAATCATTTGTTCTTTTAATTTTAATATTCAACAAAAATAAAATGTAGAATAAGAATTCAAATAAGATCATATTGAGAAACATGCCAGATAAAGAAAATCATTAACACAGTACTGGTCACAATTATCTGTTGTCCATCTATGACGTATCATCTTTCCAGGGCGAAGAGAATTTACAAGTCATTTGAATATGATGCATCATTTATCCCAGATGCTCTAACACAGAATACCAGATCACTTCAATGAGAAGGAGACTTGAAGTTCACACCCAGGATGTTTTTTCCCTGCAAAAAAAAGACAGGAATTAATATTGCAATACAATATTGCATGCAATGTGGAAATATTCAAGCAGATGTTCAATATATATTGCATACATATAAAAACATTTTAAGACATGTTGCTTTGCATCAATTGAAACTAACACCTTACCATTTTAAACATGCCTGTTAGTCCCTCTGAGGTCATCCCTGAAACCTTCTTGGCCTGTAAAAGAAATAACCACATACCAGCCACTTAATAGAACACACTGCACATCTTCTATAGACAGATGTCATAACATTAAGCAATCACATACACAGAGGTGGGGAACTTATATTGATGTCACTTAGTGTTTTACAATCATATCTTACATGACTCATGATCACAAAAGATCAAGATAATTTCAACACATGCATATTTCTTATCAATAAACATTTCTCTCCAGATGTAAGATTTTATATTTATATCCGATATCAAGTACGAGTGATTGTTTTGAAGTAATTATAAGGCAGTACAGGTTTGGAGGTTGTCACTTGACTTGTAAGAGTAAGTCTTGTGTTTAACAGAGATCTGATTTACAGTAAAACTCGTGCCACTCATATAGATCCATCAGAATTGTACTTGTTCTATATGTACATATAATAAACTCACACTTCTGGCACACTCCCCAAAGGTAACCAAATTGTCAATTCTGTTGTCAAGGAACTCCCAGGTGTCCTGTAAATTAGCTGATTTGTCCTGTATCATGTAGATCTCTGTTGACTTGTAAACACCTGCCAGACTCACACGCTTGGTGTACCAGTTAAACTAAAAATACATATCATATGTTAATATTTATACAGGGCAAAGTAAGACTCCCATGCTTGGGGTTTAAATCAAACTATATAATATAAATGCCAAGGGCACTTAATGAGTCTGTGCCTGATGGATTGCAATGAAAGAAGTGGCACATCAGTAGAGAACGGCTGAAAACAATGTTAGCAAGAGTCGCTCATTCTGATCTCCCAGAGTTACTGCCCTTCATTTCACTCAGTCAGTACAGATGGTATAGCAGTAAGATTGACAGCCGATGGGTGCAGAGAATGTTGAATTCCTTAATATTCCTGTTTACAATGAGGAATTTTTTTCCACAACACTTTGAAATGTAAAGCACAGATTGGCTATGTGGTGTCATACGACCAAGTCTCGGTGCATAAAAACTGATATGGTAAATCAGAGGTCCTGATTAAAACAAAGGGCAGTAACTCTGGAAGATCAGGATGGGGATAGGGCAAATTTAAGAAAAAAAGTACGCTTTGGAAACTGAATGAAATTTGAAAGGTCAGACAAAGAGAAGTAACTTGATCATTTCTTATGTCCAAGATGACTCTCCTTGTCTGTCACCTGCTTGATAAAACATGGCATTGTCTTATCTCATATAAAACTTAAATTAAAACATGAAACACAAAATGAAATAATTTAAAAAAACATTCAATTGCATTCAGGGGTGAAGATTTGTACTGTAAGAATTTCTGTGAGGATATTGTTTGATTAAGTTTAACATCTTGCCAGGATGACATTAATAGATGTGCAGCATCTAAAAATTTATATCATATGTTAGCATCATTTTAGGGCAAAGCCAGACTCATATGCTTGGTGTACTAGTTAAACTAGCAATATATCAAAGAATCCAGTTACATCAGTGATATGTCTATCTAAGCATGGAACTCTTATTGAGAAACAAAAGACATGATCCACCTCTATTAACATTTTATTTGGTGATCAAATTCTGTATATAACTCACATCATGTGATCTGTCTCCAGCGTAGTACCAAATGTCATCTGTGAGTTCAAGCAAATTGGACCAGGCATAAGGGACGTTTTCTGGCAGGGCCTGCATTGCCATCGCCTGTAAAGACACATATAAGTCTTACACTTAAATTTTACGATCACTTTTATTTAATACATCCAAATTTCATTATTTTATATCGAACCAGAAAAATTATAATTTTTGCCATGTAATATTTTTGCCCTAATCAAAGAGCAAGAACTAAAATGATATGGTGTCAATCGTTTCTGGCTATGACTGTCACAGTAACAGCAGATCAAAATTATCCCAGGATACAGCAGACCCACCTGGTGCCAGTTGTCCAGGTAAGGGATCACCATCCTCAGCCTGGTCTCCACAGCATTGGTGATAAACACTCGAGTAGGAGGCTTCCTGACACAAATAATAACCAATCATCAGATGAGGGAGGGTTATCACAACTAAATTATAATCAATATGAGGCTGTACGGACCTGTGTTACTTATGTGTTTATCATCTCAGGGTCCAATTCACTATATATCGTTAATATCATTCTGTACAATCATGGATCTTTTGTTACTGTAAAATGACCATATCTAACTTCACATAAGCTTCACATTAAGACTTGCTAATTTATTTGGATCTCAATGTGGCCTTGGAAATAAGTCAATGTCACTCATTTCAACAAAATAATGATAGCCCTTTGCTTTGTCATGCTATGTAGCCAAATACCACCAATAAAGCTCCTTTCCTATTTGAAATAAATCCTGAAAGGTTTTAATAGATTCGCGTTTTCAAATTAAGTTTTGACATTTTAACAAATTTAACTCCTGTGACTTTGAATGCAGGTCAAGGTCATTCATTTGAACAACGTTGATGGCCTTTCATTCCAGAATAATACTGAATATATAAGGTATGACCTATAGTCTCTTGATTAAAAGCTTTAATACAACTGACCAACATGGTCTTCAAAGTAGGTTTAAATCATTCATCGAGAAAGAGATTTGTTAGCTCTTCATTCCAGATTGCTCCTAACAAAACATAACCCTAGGCCTCTTGGTCATCCAGAAGTAGATGTAATATAATGTACTTATCTAATTCTACCTTTAGTCTCTAACATTACCAACTACATTTAACTGACATTCCATACTTACGGCTCCCCCTCGACCTGATTCTCCACCTCCTTTTTCAGTTTGGCTGCCAATTCCTTGTTACAGTTCTGGTAGAAGAAAGAAGCCAAGTGTGCTCCGCCCCTGGGGAACATTCCGTGGGCTACTGAGGGCAGACCCTCTGCTGCTGCACCTAGTACAGAAAACAGACATTCTCAAGAGACAAAGAAAACAACAGGGAAAAAAATTATTGTTAAGCTTTTTTTCCATATCCTGATCAAACATGTGTGTGACATTGTTGAAATATCAAATAAAACATTGTTCAAATGAAGTATTTGGAAACAGTTAAAACACTGGTACCTCTCAGGGATCATAAGACCAGAGATTTGTACCTGGTACTTACCCGCTGCCAGTGCTGTCGTTGACCAGCCATGCTCAGGTACAAAAGCCATGGAAGCAGTTAGTATTCTGTTTTTGATATCAGCTTCACTCTCACTCTCTTCCTGTGGACCTTCATGATTGTTCTCTAAAGTTGTGTTGAATGGTTCCCTGTAACATACGTGACACATTCCAGGAATATATCTACAACTTACTAACCTCTAAGAGCTAAACCAGATTATCTTTGCACATTTGTAACTGTACCAAAACCCTACAATTACTAGGATCAGATTCATCAAGTGTTCATATCATAGTACCAATGGCTTACTCTTTTTACATCTTCAAGCACTCAACAGATCAAGTCCTTATCTGATCATTTAACTTGTTTCCAGGATTTCACTTTAAACAGACCAAACAATCACTTTGGTAACCCTATGTTGTATATGAAACAGTGTATGGTGTTAACTTTGAAGAACATGCGATATTCAATCTCTTTAATTTCTAACAATGCACAGATACAAGATAATTAATCTAGGACATACTACTGTGTGGTTCTAATGACATCTGGAGTGCAGTCATATCTCTTGAGACCTTATACACATCTGAATTATCATCATTAAGACAGATGAGCTTACTCATTTTCCTTATCTTCAGCTTGAGGTTGTCCATCTGTCCGACTTGAGAATTGGCCCTCCGTGTTACTACCTGATGTACCATGTGTGGACAGGAAGCGAGAGTTTACCACTTTCAGTCGACGGAACACTGGAACATCATCAGGGAATAATAAACATGGGTAACTAGTATAGCACAACAGGTACAGACACTGGAAATATTACAATAATTTGAAGATCTATCTTCCTGCTCATCCCATTGGTGGTAGGTGCTGTAAATTAATTTGTAAATCATTCATTTTTGTGAGGTTTTGTTTTCATTGGTTTTGATCCATGAATATTTATGTCCACAAACTACTGTTGAAATTAGTATGCCTTGGGGTAAGTAGATTTATTAAGCTATTTATCCACAAAATCAGGCCCCAGTTGCTTGGTTAGAATTAACCAGGGGTTAGAAAAAATTTGAAAATATGAAACAAACAAAATGGGAGGATTCTCTGATATTTCTCAGCTATAGGCTTGTTGATACAGGTCAGGATATTTTTTGAGAATCAATTTTGCTTTAAATATGTAATTTCAGTGATAACAAATAAAATTTTTCATGAACGACTGGTTACCAAAAAAACCTGGAAAAGTTTAAAAAGTTATGACAAAAGATATGACAAGCCACTACTCCTAACCTGTCAACACCTGGGTTTCAATAGCTTAATGGAAACTGTAGGGAGGTTTCATTGTGATCATATCATAACCTCATTTGGATTTCACATGGTCCATGCCCATTATAGTGTACAAATGTCTGAATAGCTTGAAGTGCAGCTATCCTGATTTACATTTTTTAAATGTACCTATCAGTAAATTTAAGCTACTGGTATAAGTAATTCATATCTTTGCGAGATTTAGCAAGAAAATTACAACTTTAAGATGAGTATGCATTATGGAATCTCTTATAAAATTAAAGCAAATTTCAGATAAACTTTAGTCACCACATAATAGAGAACGTCATATATTGACAAGTTTTATAGACAAAATCAAGGAGGACAAAGTTCAATGGAATCAACAATTTTGTTGTGTTATTTTCAAATCATAATGTAACGTTATTGTCCATATGACTCACAATGCATTTCTGTTAGACAGAGCAGTCAATGACAAATGCATCGAAGGTTTAATACATTAGAGACATATCCAAACATTATTACATGGGCAGATTCACAGAATAACAGGCTGATTATTTCATAAATGCATATTGCGAGTGTTGATGACATTGACCACATCCATCTATAATACCTGAACAATTTCATCATTCTTAATCTATCTAGTGTGTTGAAATTACATGTTTATTCAGATATTGCTATTATCTTCTCTTCATTTTATAAAAACTATGCTTTTTGAAATTTGGAGTACTTCCCAGTGGGATCTCGTCATACACTATCATCTAATTTAACAGTTAGATCATTTTCCTTCTTTTGTCCTCATTCCTCTGTTTTGCTATTAATTATATGAAATTTGGAAATTTCTCTCTGCCATAGTAATCTTTAACTGCCAAATCCAAGATGGCCACATGTTGTCCATTATTTTCTGGACAGTCCAAACATCAGCAGGGCACAGCTAGGAATTATGAGGAACCTACACATGAAACTTGAGAAAGACCTATCCAGTGTTTCCCAAGAAATAGCAATAACAAACATTCATAATCCAAAATCCAACATACCACCTCTCAGCCATTTTGTTTTCTGGCCAGTTTCAAAATCAGAAAGGTAAACTTAGAGACTATGAGGAACCTGATTATGAAATTTGAGAAACATCAATCCAGTACTTCTCAAGCAATAGTCATGGCAAACTTTCACTGTCAAAATCCAAGATGGCTGCCTTTCAGCCACTTTGATTTTTTTTGTTCAGTTCCCAAATTTGGACAATGCACAAATGGGACAAAAGGGAATGTAACCTTCAGATGAAATTTGAAAAAAAAACCATGTGCATCCTGTACTTCTCCTGCCATAGTGATATCAAACTATTACTGTCAAATTCCAATTGCAAAGCTAATGACCAAAACAAACTTCCACATGAAATCTGAAACTGATCCATCCCTCCGATACCAGTGGGCTATGAAAATGACCAAAGAATTCATAATTTGGCTCAAAGGTTACTTAAGAATTTTCAACCCTTATACATAATGTTGTTTTCTAAAAACTGAAAATTTCTAACTCTGGACTTTGTAACTATGACCTATAGTCTGGTAACCTTATAAACATAACCATAAGGATAATGACAGTTAACTTGTCATAATGGTTGTTCTGACAATTATTACACACTTTTCGTAACAATTACTTTCTCTCAGAAAATAGCAAAGTTTGAAGGAAAAATTACAACAGTTACTATTATTAATACTACTTAAACTGAAATAGCGTTGAAGGCTGTAAATGTCTCGCAGGCAAAACAACTGTGTCCATTGATTTGACTGTACTGTATTTTATTCTAAATTGGTATTGAAGGGTAATATTCACTTCTGTATTTTGTATAATCATTCAGTTGTAAACAACAAATAATCAAATTAGAATCAGACAATGATTTTATTAATGAGTCTTTCCTTCCTGGAACAGGAGTCATTACACAACATCATATATAGGTAGATCAAATGATTAAACTGCATGGCTGTATGGCAACTCAGTGTTACAGAAGATATCAAATGTAATAGTGATGTTACAGAAGACAAAATCTTCATCAGTGGTGATGTTACAAAGACAACACCTTCATCAGTGGTGGTGTTTTAAGAAGACAACATCTTCATCATTGGTGATGTAACAGAAAACAACACCTTCATCAGTGGTGATGTTACAGAAGCCAACACCTTCATCAGTGGTGATGTTACAGAAAACATCTTCATCAGTGGTGATGTTACAAAGACAACACCTTCATCAGTGGTGATGTTACAGAAGACAACACCTTCATCAGTGGTTGAGCTTCAGAAGACAACATTTTCATTAGTGGTGATGTTACAGAAGACAACACCTTCATCAGTGGTGATGTTACAGGAGACAACACCTTCATCAGTGGTGATATAACAGAAGACAATGCCTTGATTTGTTGTGATGTTACAGAAAACAACACCTTAATCAGTGGTAATGTCACACAAATGACCTGATTTTTCCGATATATATTTGTGTTAGACTTTATACCTTTATAATGTACATTACCAAGGGACATCCAATATCTGTATTATATACATGTACATATGTATATTATCAAGGGGAGTTATGCCTCATGTGGATGATCCAGCTTCTAGCTCTTGAAGGTAAAAATTTTATCACAGTAGAAAAAAATCAAGATAGAAATACAGTGAAGTCCTTGTTTTCATCATAATAACAGTAACCTTGTGTTTCAGACACAAAATACTGACATGTCACCATAACTAATGACTATAGATATTAAAAACTTCACTTCAAAGGGCATGACAGTAACTAGCTTTAAACACCTAAAGCATTACAAACACCATATAAACAATGATACAATCAAATTTTAAAAAAAAAATTCAACATTACGAAATGAAAATCTACTATCAGTACTGTAAACATTGTATGATCCTTGAAGGCTGAAATTTCAAAATTGTGAAGAGGATGTTATAGAACACAAACACAAATTTGTGACAAATAGAAAAGAGGGTGGTTTGAAGAACAATGACACTTAAATCTGTTTGTAAAGTAACCCTGATATTGTTTAAGATTTCAGAGTGTTGAAATTAAAATTAAAATTTAAAAAAGAAATGGCGTTGGTGAACATGAAGTTTTATGACAAATCAGAAATGATTTCTAAACAAGATTCTTGTACCACTGACAACTCATTAAATTTCAAAGGGCTTATTTTTTTTAACTGGAAAGATCTTCCATTAATCATCTTAATTTCTAATCCCATTTTAAACTATACAAAGATTAAAAAAAAATCCTGAATGATGTTTACCATGAGTACCTACACAAAACCTATAAGTATTTGACTTTTACGGTAATATACAAACTTATACTAATTGGATGCTGAGTTTTATTCCAGTCAGTGATCTGAATGATTGATTCAGGTTTCCTAATTCATTAATATAGAAATGGTTTTCATAATCTGAAGTGAAGTCTTCAGACTTACATTGAGAATGTGATTTTATCACTTTGATAAGGAAGTGATATCTGTTACTGTAAAGGTGTAATTGCTAACCTAGTGGCTGATCAATTTCATCATGAAATATATAATTTACTCAATATTAAATGAAAAATCTTTATATAGTGACAACAATACATTACAAGTGCGTAGGTGGTTCATTTACATGTATGAGGCAATGTCAGGGTTTTATACTCTACAAATCTTTCATTACTGTGCATGTTCAGTACATGTTTTTAACTTCATATTTATAAGCTGTAGAGCTAATCAATGTATTTCGACTTAAGTATTTTTATTATTACTTTTTTTGATCAAAATGAATTTGAAAAAAGGTAAAAATTGCCAGTAGAATCATTGGTCAGTTTTTGTATGTCTAGATTGTTCAGGATTTAGCATCATGTTTTGCAGCTTTCAGCTGGAAATCAGCTAGCTCTACAATCCTACTGAGGAGACTATCAATCAAGTCAAAAGTATTGAGTGCAGACTCTACAATCTGAATCTGCTGACTGCGTGGAACCTTAGGCATGGGCATCCCCGCCACACTGATGTCGACACCGAGCTCCATTCCTTTCTCCACTGTCGCTTTCCCTTCTCTGAAGTTCTGCAACTCTAATTTATAATGACTTTTAGAAAAATCTAGGGCCAGTCTCAAAGGACCAAAGAAGTCTTTCTCTATGTCTTCATAATAGGACCATATCCCTGTAACATTGACCGATATTGGATCCCGGAGAATTAGGTATCGAATCAGGTTCAGGGTAGGAATGACTCGATCTGATGACTCCAGTAGATCAGACTCCGCTCCTTCCTCAAGTTGGGACACAAACTTTAACATTCGTTTTAGATTTAGACCCAGGAATGTAGTGTCTGGGATTTCCTGTTTCAATGTAGTGTCTATTTGGTCCTTCACCAGCTGAATGCTGTACCCAATCACCCCGGCATGAGAACATGTGTTGAAAATCATCTCATATATCTGAACACGAGCTTGCAGTGTAAACATTTTAATGTAGATAGAAA